TAAGGGCAGGTACACATAATAGGCTGTCAGGGCTACCAACGCAGTCAGCAAGACAAAGGCTGATTTCATGCTGGACCGGTGCCTTCTTTGCTGTGTACAAGCACAGACACTGAAGCAAGTTTTTTCTGCCTCCTGACAAGTTTGCTGCAAGGTAGCTCCCATTCACGGCTTTCATAACCTTCACAAGCCAATCAGAGGACGCGTAAAGAGGAAGTCTAGGCTTTTCCGTCCCCCTACATCGGTGTCCTTGCAATTGTTTTCGTTTCATCATGTTTCGGGCCTTATCTGAGCACAGGGACATCTAGGGGACACCGTGATGCAGTGCACCACCCGAATCGCATGCCTATAGCCACACAGTAGATAACGCCCAGCACCAGGATCAGGCTGCCTTTATGTAATCCAACCCCCAAATCATCAGGGTTAACGGCAAAGTGCTGCAAATGTTGCATCTGATAATACCCAAGTCTCCAGTCCCTCCAGGACCTAACTTTACACGCAGCAGGAGCAGTACCATTGAAGCCCAACCCAGACACTTTGTGTGCCTATGAACAGTCCCAATGGCTTCAATGAAACTGCTCAGACAGGCAAAGCTCCCTGAGGGGCTTGCAGGATTGGGAGCAATATTTTTACAAAATACACTGCAGTACATATATTAAAAGTATGACTGCAGCGAATGAAAACTACACTACACTTAAGGACCATGAACAATGTATGTATTTTTCACCTCTGCCCCCCCTCCCCCCCACATGTAGAAGCTTAAAGTTGGGCAGTGACATATTGTCAAAAGAAAAGGAGTACTTGTGGCACCTTAGAGACTAACCAATTTATTTGAGCATAAGCTTTCGTGAGCTACAGCTCACGAAGGCTTATGCTCAAATAAATTGGTTAGTCTCTAAGGTGCCACAGGTACTCCTTTTCTTTTTGCGAATACAGACTAACACGGCTGTTACTCTGAGACATATTGTCAGTTACAATAACCTCTGCTACAGGCCAGTGACTCCTCACTGACTGACAGTAAGGCAGGGAAGGTATCCTTGACTATACTTGTATTTAATTTTACAGAGCCTATAATACCAATGCACCTATGTGGTGACAGGAATGGAGAGATCAGAATCCACTGAGAGAAGCATGAGGAGCATTAGATCTGTCTCTGTCAACTACCGAGTCGATAAATGAGAAATGAAGGATGTATGTTGGAATCCATTACTTTGGGTCACAGAAAGGGGGTACTTTTAGGAAGGGGGTAGACCCAAGGAAGGTAGTAAATGGCCATTCAATCAGAAGAAGAGAAAAAAGCCTCAAGTGGAGACAGTTTCTTAAAAAAATGTGTGATAGGGTTAAATTTGTACATACTATAGTTTGGAATGGGCATGCTGAAAACCCAGGGAAGGAACTGTAGATTTGGGATGAAAATCTGTCCCCTTTGAAGTCAATGGCAAAACTTCCCTTGACTTCAATGGGGCCAGGAGTTTACCAAATGGCTACAGCACAAATTTTGCTTTTTACTTCAGCAGAATTTATCTCACATACAATAAAAAAAAATCCTAAACAAGTTTCTTCTTCCTTATCCTTTTCTTCCCTCAAAAATTCAAAGTGGAGGCCACCTCACTGTGTCATGCCAAGTAACAGACATGACAATGTTCAGCATGGATCTGACTAACCTCCATATCACCAATGGTTACCCTATATTTGTGCTTGTTTATGGGACCATTAAACAAATTCAAATATTTTGTTAAATGGCTTGTCTCACCATGAATAAAATACACATAAAAGAATGAACACATCCCTAATTTTAATATTTATTTTAAGATTAATTCATCAGATAAGAAAAGACATAGGAAACTGACACAATTTATGTGATGCTCCTGAAAAGAGAAGCTTTCTAAAAGAAATGGACATGAAAAATTAGATGACTAGTTTATAAGAAATGAAAAGCTGACACCTGATCCTGTTGTCATTGGAGTCAAAGATAAAAAAAATCCATTAATTCCAGTGATAGCAGGAGCAAATCCCTGAACTTTTGAGGAAACGGGGTTTCAAGGACCACAACATATTTATAATTTTATATTACATCACAAAAACAGAATGTGTTTTTGAGAACTGTTTCCACATACAGTTTATTGAGCAAGTTGTATGTTAAAGGGCTATTAGGAAATGAGTCAGGAATACAGCAGCACATTAACACTGCTTTATTTAAAGAGAATCAGCAGTTCCATGGAGAATCTGTTTTTTCCAGAAGTTCATAACTTGGTTGTAAAAAATTGCTGTGGGTTGGAAAACAACAAGCAAGGTCTCAGCTTGGGAGGGATTCTTTTTTACAAATTAGCAATTTTTTCAGTCATTTCTATATGCAAAATATATGGGACACAGTCTCTGCTGGTGCAAACTGGCACAGCTCTACCGATTTCAATGGAACAGAGAATTTTTCCTGAAATTAGAATGAAAGCCAGCCTTTGAGCAACCACTCCAAGGTATTGCCAAGGATTTTACAATGTTATATTATTTGTAATAAGAATCATGTATTTCAGTGTCCATAAAGTACACGCATATATGCACATAGGGCTGGACTCTGCAAACACACACATTAAGTTATGCATATGTAACTGCAGAATCTGGGGCAAAGTTCATGCACAAGAGATTCTGCACTTCGCATTGTTCCATTTGTTGGTTCTAGTTTTTATGCTGAAATGCCAAACAGTAGTCAGATACAATGGCCGTATTGTTCCCCTGAGATCCAAGCCCAGAACTGATCCTCTGTGAAGGTATTTCCCAGTTAATTGACAGAAGTGGAGTCAGCTGTCTTTGTTGCAGGATTCCCCCATCCTCCAGACCCCATGGAGACCTTTCTGAGGATACAGGGTCTTTGCTGAGGGATGAAGTGGAGGCTGGATGGCTAGGAAAGGAGGAGTGGGATGGGGGCAGGACTCTGTCCCTCCAGAACATACCCAGAAAAGATAATGTACTATCTATCTGGTTTGCAGGGTTCAAACCTTTTACTCATGCATGTAATCCTTATTTACATGGGACATATGCCTGCAAGCCCTTACTTGCATGAGCAATCCCTACTATCACAAGCAGTGTCCCCTTTCCTTTGGCCCTTAGGGTCTGACCCAAAGCCCACTGAAGTCAACGGAAAGACTCCCACTGACTTCATTGAGCTTTGGATCAGGTCCTTAGTCCTCAAGATACCTAGAGTAGTAAGAATCCCTAATATAGAAAGGATGAATACTATCAAAACTTTTAATTTTGGCATATAATAATTAGATTAGAAGGACATCAGTCAAATTCCTTTTAAATTGACACAGTCAGAACTTACTAAATTGGGCCTTTCATAAGATGCTGAGTACATACAAAAATACTCATTTCCAAATCACAAAGGTTTAATATTAGAGACAAATAAAAAGAAGAAAAAATCAAAAGCATTAGATATGGTTAGTTTTATATCAGTTTTGATACAGTTGAGTCAGCTGACATTCACATTAATCAACTCATTTTTCCTTCTTTTGATTTAATTTGATTATTCAGAAGCTCCTCTTCATCAAAATCATAAAATACTTTTTAACATCCTTAAGGCAAAGCTTATTAAATTTATTAATGCGGCAGTATTTTTGATGGCCAAAGTAAGTATTTATAATTATTTTTATCATGCCTAAAGGTGGCACAGGTGATTTACTGAGCAATTAGATCTTTGGCTTAAAGAGACAGATTTAAATATGTGACTAAGGTGCCAGCAAAAAAGTAGGGAATAATGGCGTGAGAAGGGTGAGCTAGCAGTAAGATTGTGTGACTCCGTTTAAGAATGTGCACACCTGCAGGGTCAATGACACATTGCTTTTCTTTTTATTATTATAGTCATATTTCTAGGAAGCATTTTAGAAGAAGTACCGCCTCAGGAGACATGAGGAAAGGCAGCTCCAGTTTGCCAGATCGGGAAGCTTGACTGAGAACTCAACTGAGCCTACAAATCCTAACAAATAGAAATGGTTTTCCTTCTAGCTGGAGCTGAGTTAGATACGTCTGGGAAAATATGTATTTTACCATCAATCTTAATGGCTACAAAACACATCCAGGTAGGAAGTATCTAGAGTGATCAGACAGCAAGTGTGAAAAACTGGGATGGGGGTGTCAGAGGAACAGCCGTGTTAGTCTGTATTCGCAAAAAGAAAAGGAGTACTTGTGGCACCTTAGAGACTAACCAATTTATTTGAGCATGAGCTTTCGTGAGCTACAGCTCACTTCATCAGATGCATACCGTGGAAACTGCAGCAGACTTTATATATACACAGAGAATATGAAACAATACCTCCTCCCACCCCACTGTCCTGGTGGTAATAGCTTATCTAAAGTGGTTAGTCTCTAAGGTGCCATAAGTACTCCTTTTCTTTTTGGGATGGGGGTGGGGAGTAATAGGAGCCCATATAAGAAAAAGAATCCAAAATCAGGACTGTCCCTATAAAATCAGGACATCTGGTCACCCTGGAAGTATCAGAGGGGTAGCCATGTTAGTCTGTATCCCAAAAACTTTAAGCTTTTGTGGCTTAAAAAAAACCCTTTTCCGTGCATCTGAAGAAATGTTTTTTTGTTTTTTTTTTTTTACCCAGGAAAGCTTATGCCCAGATAAATCTGTTAGTCTTTAAGGTGCCACCGGACTCCTTGCTATTTTTGTCAGGTAAGAGTCCCTCAGGATCTACAGTTTCCAAGTTGGGGCCCCCATCCCGCCCGCCCTCCTGGGGCACAGCAAGGGCAACGCTCCCATCACAGGCAGACATGGAAAGGACAGCGCCTGATTCCCTTCTCGCTCAGGCTGGCTTTAAAGGGACTTCGTTTAGGGCCGTGTGACTCCTCCCCTCGTGGACACTGATGTCATGTCTTAGGGGCGCCGTGACCTGCAAGGCTCGGGTAGGGGGCAGCGGGGCGGGGCCCATGGTCAAGAGGGGCCCAGTGGCCGGCAGCTGCAGTGTCGGGGCGGTGGCGATGGGCGGAGCTCTGGGGACCAGGGCGGGGTTCCTAAGGCGCCGGCCTTGAGAGTAGCCTCTGGGACAGTGGCCGGGCAACGGCAGCTACATCCGGGTCTCTCTCTCTCTCACTCTCCGGCTTGCCGTTGGACTCATTTGAAAACCGCCATCAGCCAATCAGAGCCCAGGTGAGCTCAGTCCCTGTGATCTATGTTGGGCAAGAGGAGCGACAGAATCCCTTTCATTCACACACCTAGGGATGAGGGAATCCCGGCCGGCCAATGGGAGATCGCTTTGCAATGAGCAGCACGGACAACGCCCAATGCCCGAAGGCAGGACAACAAGCCCTTTTCAAAGAGCGAAGTGAGGGTGGGCGGAACCTCGTGATGCCAATCCCGAGAAGGTCTAATGGGAAACCGGCTTTCATAGGGACGCCTGCGCCGACGCCGCCTGGCAACCAATGGGCGGCTCGCTTAGAGCAGCGGCTCGCTTTTTGAATTGGGGTCGGCGGCGGCCGCTCATGGTACCTGGGAGAACTGTGCCGGTTGCGGGTTTGGCGGTGAGGCGCGGTCAGGGCCGGGGACGCCGGGCCGGGCGGTGCGAGAGGAGAAGGAAGGGGGCCGGGCGGGGGCTGAGCCTGAAACCTGCCGACGCCCGGGCCGCGCAGCGCACAGCCTGCTGCCGCCGGCTCCTCTCTCCCAGCGGTGTCGGCGCTAGCCCCCCGGCGAGCGGGTTTGTGTCGCTCGCGGCAGTCCTTCAAAGCCAGCAACGCACCTGGGCCTGGAAGGGACGCGGTCAGCTTCCGCCACTCGCGCTGAGCGCAGCCCCTGCCTGGGAGCGCACCTGCCGGGAGGCCTCCCTGCCAGGCGGGTGGCTTCACAAAGCCTCCCTGGCAAATACCGTCTCTGCCCCTCGGGGCTCTTTGCAAGCGCCCCGCGAGCGGGGAAGCTGGCCAGTGCCCTGGGAGGTACCGAAAGTGCTGTCAAATACCCGGCATTAGCAAAGCGGGTCCCCCAAGCGGGCTTATAGCAATATTAGCTGTTCGTTTTTAACAATAGTAATTGTGGCTGGCGGGGGCGGAGTGTGTGTATATGTGTGTGTGTTTGTGTATATATACTCTGCATGTTGGCAGCTTTATTTTTCTTGTAACCTTAGATATGTACTCCTGCTATCTTGTGACCAGAATTTCAGGGCTGTTTCAAGCCATGATCGTTAGACTCTCAAAACATAGAATGAGACTTTTTTTTTTATAAATTATTGCAAAAATCATTCAGAAAAGAGAGAGCTTTAAAATGGAGATGCACAGGGTGTAGCTTTTATTAAGTGGGCAAAGACCCCTGCTACTGTACTTGCTTGTATTGGTATCCATTTTAAATGTTTACACTTGTAAGCATGTTACTAGGGCCAGGACTCCATGTGACCATTAATGGCAGATTGACCTCCCTCCACTATTGTTTTAAATACTGCTTTAATAGACTTTTTGTTCTGCATTTCTAATTCAAGGACATCACATCTTCCTCTTTACTTGATACTTTGTTTAACTTGTGTAATTCTTGCCTACCATACTGTGGTATGTCAGGGCACTTAAAGTTTGTAAAATGTTTAGGACCTTTGTGCAAGAATAGTGTCCTCTGAACTGTAGAGGGAATTCCTTCTTCTGGCTATTTACAAGAACTATAGTAAAAAGCAGAATTATCAGACGCACAGAAAAACATGATTTGTTGGGGGGAAAAGTAAACTGCTTTTGTAATGGGAAGTCAGGCCTCAGTCTATTAGAATTCTTTGTGGGTATTAACAATCATGTGAATAAGGGTGGTCTTCATAAAGTGTACTTGGATTTTCAGAAAGCTTTTGACAAAGTCCCTCATCAAAGGCTTTTAAGGAAACTAAGTAGTTATGGGATAACAGGGAAGGGCCTTTCATGGATCAGTAACTGTCTAAAAGATAGGAAACAAAGGGTAGGAATAAATGGTCAGATTTCACAATGAAGAGTGGTTTTCCAGTGAGGTTTTCCAGGGAGCTGTACTGGGATCTGTGCTATTCAACATATTCACTAATGATCTGGAAAAGGGAGTGAACAGTAAACTGGTAAAGTTGCAGATAAGTAAGTCCAAGGCTGACTGTCAAGAGTTGCAGTGGGATCTCTCAAAACTGGGTGACTGGACAATGATACATTCAGAGTAATGCTTGTTGGGGGCGGGGGGACATAATCCCAACTACCCATATATAATGGTGGGTCTAAATTACCTGTTACCATTCAAGAAAGAGTTCTTGGAGTCATTGTGGATAGTTCTCTGAAAACTTTTCTCCGTGCACAGTAGCTGTCAAAAAGGCTAAGAGAATGTTAGGAGCTATTAAGAAAGGGATAGAAAAATGAGACAAATATAATGCCACTGTATAAATTTATGTTGCTCCCACACTTTGAATACTGTGTTCCATTCTGGTTACCCCATCTCAAAATTGATATAATGGAAGTGGAAAAGGTTCAGAGAAGCGCAACAAAGATGATCATAGATATGGAATGGCTTCTATATGAGGAAAGACTAAAAGGGTTAGGAGTGTCCGTCTTGGAAAAGATGACTGGTGGTAGGGATATGATAGACTATAAAATTGTCACTGGTGGGGGGGGAAAAGTGAATAGAGAAGTGTTTATTCTTTCCCACAACACAAAAACCAGGGGTCACCCAATGACATTAATGGGCAGCTGGTTTAATACAAAGAAAGAGAAATAATTTTTCAGACAATGCACAATTAACTTTTGGAACTCATTGCCATGGGATGTTGTGATGACCAGAAGTATGACTAAGTTTAAAAAAAGAACTAGGTGAACTAATGGAATATAGGTCCATCAATTGCTATTAGCCAAGGTGGTCAGATGTACAACCCCATGCCCTAAACCTCTGACTGCTAGAAGCTGGGAGGGGAAGACCGCTTGATCGCTCCAACTGTCCTGTTCTGTACTTGGCTCCTTGAAGCTCTGGTACTGGCTGCTGTGAGAGACTGGATACTGAGCTAGATCCATTGGTCTGACCGAGTATGGCAATTCTTATGTTCTTTTCTCTAAGGATTGTCTGCACATACAGTGCCAGAGCAGTGGATCTGCACCAGTGTTTAGTGAAGACACTCCTAGACTGAAGGGAGAACGTCTCCCATCAGTGTAGTTAATACACCTCCGTGAGAGGTCACAGGTATGTTGGTGAGAGAAGCTCTCCACCTTGCATGTGAAGTTAGGTCAGTATAAATACATTGCTCAAGGGTGTGGTGTTTTCACTCCCTTGAGTAATGTAGTTACACAGACTACAGGTTTGTAGGGTAGACCTGGCCTATGTCAGTATATAAGGGGAGATCAACTTTGATGTCTGTAAAATAATGTTGATCTTTGTTACTTGATTGATTAGGCATTGCACTCCTTGCCCATACACCATGTTCCTGGAATTTTACTATGTCCTCTCCCATGCAGTGTTTTAACTTGTGACTTCAAAGACTACTATTTTAAAAGGACATTGTATTTTACAAGTTTTGTTTGTGTTTTAAGAAAAATAATCTGTTCATATTGTTGTAAGTAAAAATATTTATCCCTTTTTGAGCACAGTGAGTTGTAAGGATATCCATGAGTAACATTTTGAAGCTGTCCTTCCTTAAAATAATAAAAGCGTAGTACATTTGGGAGCATGAGGAGAGAATATCTGCAAAAAGGATACTTAGCACTTTCTCCTTGATTTTTATATAGTACCTATACCAGGGTATCTTAAACCTTTTTCATACAGTTTCATGTTCCCTCATACCACTGTGCAAATACTTTAAGCTGCATGATGGATCACAGGAATTGCATATTTCCAAACCCACTTACAAAAACATGGTTTTTCCTAGTCAGGAGAATCCTAGCCAACTGAATTGATGATTGAGATAAGTGGACCTGGCAACGTGAGACAGGGATAGCTTTTTTTCCCTGAAGTTCACAATTGTTCAAGCAGCTTCTCAGAAGATGGAGAAACATATTGTGCGGACAAGGAGTCAAAGGATCCTTTAGTGTGGGACAGTGAACTCTGAGAATGAGTGTTAATGTTCAACAGTCTTCATCCTGTGGAAACAATAGAGTAAATTTCCCAGTGCTGGATAGTAAACTTATGTTGCTGCTTTGCCTGTTGGCGTCCTGCAAATTCACTGATTCCACACCCCCATGTCAGTTAGCTGAGGAATTTTGTATTTAAATGCTGCACTGAGTACTTTATTAGTACTTTTTTTATAATACTTTATAATTCTGTATGTAGATAATGCACTTGGTGCCTCTATGAGGCTTTCCGGTGATGGCAAGAAACCCCTTCTCTCTGTCTGTGATAAGGACTGCATCACTGAAATTGCCTAGCAAGACAGGCCTGAGGAACTTCAACAGTAAGCTGCACAAATCTGGTCAACTCATCTGGGGAATCTGAGGTCAAGTGTGTTGGCCTGTATACTACAATCTTCTTTCACCTTTGAAAAATGTATGCAAACCCCATTTCTTTTTTAGTGTGAACTTCTCTGAAATTAAATGCAAATAACACGGTTAATCCAGCTTCCTGAATCTCTTAGACCATGTTTTAACAAAATTCCTATCTGGAGTAAGCAAGCAATTTCTCGAGATCCTGGATCAAAATAAATCCTTAAATCTGACTTTTTTTTAAAGGGAACACAGGGCTTTTTATTCCCATATCCCTAGCTATCAAAATGCCCTGTCTTCAAACAGTTTTCCTCAAAAATAGACTACTATGAATTACCTGTAGAAACTATTTCTGTGATAGTTGTTTGTATAATTCTGCGACTCTTAAAATAGCTGTAGGCTAAGAGGATACTAGCATGTAAGTGGGATTTGTTAGTTCTAATATTTAGAAGTCTAAAACTAACTTCTCTACCTTTCCACAGGACTTTTTACGGACTATTTTTTTAGTATGTACTGTTCAGATGAAACTTACTTTGGGTACTTATTTTGCAGCCACTGAGGAGAGAAACACAGACTTGATCATGACTGACAGCAGTATGCTAGTGTCTGACACCGGAAGGAGTCTCTTGGGAGATTCTTCTGTTCTTGATTCAAAAATTATAGAAACGTCCAAGGAAAATATATTTATTGGATTGGCTTCAGATGCTGAAGGTAACAGGAAAAGCCTTTTTCAATCCTGTCACACTTGTTTCGTTTGAATATTGTTTCTTGGACGATATATACATATACATTGTTTTTGTTTTGTTTTTAAATGGGAAGGTGTCAATAGCCTGAAGCCCTTTGTACAGCCACAAAGTGGGTACTGAACCAAAAGTAGTGTTTCTGCCTTCTCCACAGATATGTTAAGAGGACAGAACTGTACAGGTGAAAGTAGTTCATTCTTGCTCATCACACAAAGTGCCAACCAAGAATCCAGTCATAGTGGTGGTTTTATGATGTGGACGCTTTTACTAAGAATAGTCATTGATCACCAACTTGCTTCATAGGCCTGTGAAGAACCATGAGATGGGTGGCTTTTTGGTCTCTACTGATGTCTATAGATTTGAACTAGTAATCTACATCTAGAAAGATCTACATTGATTACTAATCTCCTGAATCATACAAACCAGTCTTACCCCCCACCCAAGAGAGACTTTAGAAATTAAAGTATGTTCTATTTCCCACAAAATAGTGTAGTTTTCCTTGGTATTTGATTTATCCTCTTTCTCCTGGTATTTCCAGAATGGATGTCTCTACCTGATTACTTCATTCACCCTAAACCTCTAATTAGAGGAGATCTGTAAAATTAAAAGCAGAGTAATTCTTCAGTTTGGAAGCTAATGAGGCTCCTGCAATTCAACCAAAAGATTGTTAGTAACTTGTGGTGATTTGTCACTTACAGTGGCTCTAAATATACAGTATCAGTATTAATACCTCTTTTGATCTAGGTTCAAAGTAAATATTTCATCCCATTCTCCCTTCCTTGTTTCACATGACAAAATCACACAGTTGGTAGTTTCCATTCAATAGGCCATGACCTAAACATCCATATTTGTGAAGAACACGAGCAGAGCTTTTTTGGAAAAGCTTGGAGAACATATATCCACAAAATGTCTGGTTAAATTCATGCCACTACTTTAACTTTTTGTGAATTCACCAAACTATGGTAAAATTTCTTACTACCAAGGCTTTTGACCTAAATTAGACAGTATAGGTTAAAAAAACAAAACCCTTCGTTAATCAAAGGAATGATGTATTTTGTCCTTTGATTACAGGCCTGTCTCTGTTCAGTACCCATCTGTTGCTAAAAAGTGTAAGTCATAGAAATGTAGGACTAGAAGGGCCGTCAGTAGGTTTCCTTAGCCCTGTCTCAATGCAGGGGACTAAGTATTATCTAGACTAGACCATCCCTGACAGGTGTTTGTCAATGGTCACCTTTGATGGGAAAGGCTAAGTAAACTAGCGTTACACGTACTATTAATTGTTCACAGGTGTGCATTTGTATGTCCCAAATTCGTTGGGTTATTTCTGGTGTGGCTGCAACTTTGTCTAGAGGCAACTAGGAGTTTGTTAGGAAAATCAGCACTCGCAGTTAAAACACATTCTCTGCAGTAACTTCCTTGAAATGAAATCCTGTGTTCAGGGTTTGAAAACTACCCTTGCTCGTGGTCAGTAGAAAGCTTTCACAGACAAGTGCCATCAAATTATGCAGAATTTAATCTTATTTACAAAATTTAAGATTCTGGCTCTTTATCTGCAACCTGTCAACATGAGACAAATGGAAACTGAGGTAGTACTGTCTTTCTGAACTCTGTCTGCAGACTTGAATGCCTCTACTGCTGCTCCTTGCTTTCCCGGATTGCACCAGTGGAAAATTGTCTAGTTTCCTATCAGTTAAACTGAGGATATTTGGAGTCCTGTGGATAATGGTGAGACTTATGAGGTAACAGATTAATCTAATCCTGCACCTTGGGGAAGCTCTGAGCAGCAGCAGAGGAAGGCATTGGAGCTGTCCATATAGAATAGGGCTCTTCCCTTTGGAATTGGGGTGCATTTTGATCGGGTTGATAGTCCTTTAGAGAGCCTGACTATTATGTAGACTGGCCTCTCAAACCCCTCTTGATGGGGACTCTGACTGTTTTATTGCTTTACATTCTGCCATGGTATAAACTTGAACTGCTGTCATCACTTGCTCCCTTTTGTACTCTAGGAAAGTGAGGTCTCATAGAGATCAAAATACAGAGGCTGAAAAGCTAGATTCGATCAAGGTAACAATAACTTCTATAGTGCCTACATTGGCTCAGATAGGCAACCTCTGGAGCCCTGCCTCATTCCATAATTTTGTGTGCCCACATCCAATTTAATTTAATTGGTATAGGTAGTGCCAGTATTATACAATGTACTAATCTGTGAGTATGCATGAAGTACTTTTTTTTTTTTTAAACTAAAAGCTGTACTAAATAAAAATGGACTTTTGGTGGAACGCTGACAGGAGCATTTGATCTAAAGACTATCATTCCTAAGATTTTCTTCCCTCTACTGAGGTGGTGTAGAGCTATTTATAAGCTAAGTTTAAAAATCCTTTATGATAGGAAGTATATTGTACTTTAGTGTTAAATAGATAATATTCTTTGCTGAAATTGGAGGGGGGGAAGACTCTGGACTGGAGTCAAGTATACAAAACTTGAATCCAGAATTTGACCAGTTATAAGTTCCAAAAATGACCCCTCAGAATGTAAATGCTCATGTATCCTTAACTATAAGAGTGTCTCTGCCTAGAATAGATAATGCTATACAGCACATGTTCTAGGCAAAATAAAAAGCCCTCTGCTTTCAAGAGCCTGGTCTAAAACAGAGATCTCAAACTCAAATCACCACAAGGGCCACATGAGGACTAGTACATTGGCCTGAGGGCTGGATCACTGACACCCTTTCATATAAAGATACAAAAGCCCCCAGTCCTGCCCCCACTTCACCCCTTCCATGAGGCCCTGCCCCTATTTCAACCCCTACCCCAAATCCCCAGCCCAGCCCCTCATCTTGCATCTCCTCCCCTGACTGCATGGCCCCCTGCTCCTCCCCCCTCCCTTCTGGAAAGTACTAAGGGCCACCAAACAGCTGTGCGGGAAGCTCCTGGAGGTAGGCAGAGGAGTGGGGGGAATGGGGCAGATGGGGAGGGGAGCTTGGCATGGGGCCAATGGGCCATGCATTTGAGACCCCTGATCTAAAGACAGGAATGGTGGTAAATAGTTACTGCAGCAGGAATGAGCCTCTGAACTTGGTATGCAGTAAATATGAGCATGCAAGGTAGTATGAAAGATGTGAAGTTGGGAGTGAGTAAATGAGATTGAGGGAGCAATTTAGGAAGATTCTTGGACACAAGTGATGTGATGGAGTTATGTAATGTTGTGGAAAAGGAGTGGCTTGAATAAGACTTTTCATTGAACTGTAAACATACAGCACTTCATCTTGACTCTGTAGCTAAGTGCACTTCCAAAGGTATATGCTAAATAGCCATTTGTGATTCTCAATTTTTTTTAAATGACTAATTCAAATCTGCCACCTGTACCTCTGACAAATCCTGCCCATTGTGGGAGCCCCTTTCCTTCCAAAAAGGTAAGACCTTTTTTGTTGCTGGCATTCCCGTTCAGTAATTCTCAATTTAGGCTTTCTGTATAACCCATTAATCAGTCATACTGGTGCCCATTAATAAAAAGCAATGTTTGAGAAGTCTAAAATTGTCTTACTGCAACTCTAGAATAAACAGACCTTTTAAGATCTGCAGACTTACTGTTTGGGGTAAGATACTTGCATATAATTGATCCCTTTTTTCCCAAAGGGCACAGCTAACTTAAACTTGTTCAATAGTTTCAGATACCCCTGCCCTGAGTTGCAATCCCCTATCCAATCCTTTAGGCTTTAAAATCCTACTCTCTTAAATTTACTCTCCTTTCCTGTGTGTGAAAGGTACATACCTAGGATGAAAATGACTAGATAAGGCTCATAAACTGGGGAAAATATCAGATGCTGTAGTGACTTGGGTGTTACGTGGGAGAGTTAGTCTTTCACAGAGAAATGTGATTATTTTTTTTTTAATCTCTTTAGTAAATAGTGTTAAAGTAAAATCCTGTTCCCTCAGTTATGCCAGGCAACTTTCTATCTGCCTCAGGCCTTTCAAAAGACGCAATTCTGTGAATGCCTCCGGGATGTATGCTGGAGAAATGGAGCAAGTTCATAGGGGCTTAGACATCACCCTTTTCTTTTGTTCGTTTTTTTTTTGGGAAAGCTTTAATGTTAAGATATTAGACATTAAAATACTACAAAATACTAAACAGCCATGCCTCTGCACCATAGACTAACTCCACTTTGCAGCAGTTTCTTCTAATTGTGACATAGAATAACTTTCTGTTTGGGATTGATTTGCACAGTGAAGGAGGAAGGCTGGTGAGTGGCTTAAACATTTCTTTGGTAAATTTGTTAGATAGCTAATTCTGTTAGTAGCATGGAACTAACGCTGCTGTGCCTCTCAATACTTGTTGATCACTTCCCCCCCCCTTTTCACACAGTTCCTGTGTGAATATGAATGAGCTCTTCATTGGTCATAAACTGTGGTCTTGCTTCATCGTAGACTCTAGCAAGTATATGGCTCCTGAGTTCTACTTTTAAACTGTATCTGGCTTGCTGTCAGACTGGGATAACATATCTAGTGGGGCCCCGTGGGGGGGTGTCTGTTTCAGGTCCAGTACTAGTGAACGTTTTCATTAATTACTTGGATAATCGAGTGGAGAGTATACTCCTAAAATCCCCAGATTATGCCAGACTGGGAAAGGTTGCAGGTACTTTGGAGGATAGGATTAAAATTCAAAACAACCTTGACAAATTGGAGAATTGGTCTGATGAAATTTAATGTAAACAAATGCAAAATACTTCATTTAGGAAGGAAAAAATCAAATGCACAAATACAAAATGGGGAATAACTGGCTAGGTAGTAGTATTGCTGAAAAAAATCTGGGATTATAGTGGATCACGAATTGAATGAGATGACCATGAGATACAGTAGCCAAAAGGCAAACATTCTAGGTGTATTAACAGGAGTATCGTATGTAAAACACAGGAAGTAATTGTCCTGTTCTGCTTGGCACTTGTGAGGCCTCAGCTGAAGTACTGTGCCCAGTTCCAGGCACCACACTTCAGAAAATTATGTGCGCAAATGGGAGCAAGTCCAGAGAAGAGCAACAAAATGGGAGAAGATACCCAGATTTTTTTAAGCCTTTCCTCATAGATTAGGTAGTGTTTCTTTTTCAGAAGAAAAGACTGAGGGAGGATTTGATGTATTTGACGACTGTTAAGGGCTGTTATATTTAAGTCAGTTGTTCTCCTTGTCCATGAAGGTAGGACAAAAAGTAATAGGTTTAATCTGTAGCAAGGGGAGATTTAGACTGGATAGTACAAAAAAATTCCTAACTGTAAGGATAAGTACTAGAATAAACTTCCAGGGGAGGTTGTGGAATCCCTGTCATCGGAGGGTTTTAAGAACAGGTTAGACAAACACCTGTCAATGATGGTCTAGGTTTACTTAATCCTTGCTCAGCATTTGGGGCTGAACTAGATGACCTCTTGAGGTCCCTTCCAAACCTACATGTCTACGACTGATGCACTGTGCAATCCATCGGCTGCAAGCTTGACTTGAAGAAGAAGTTTGTTAAGGCAGCACCCAGTCTTCAGAGTTGAAGTACTCTTGGTAAATAATACTTTTTGAGAAAGGACTGTGGATCTTGGCAAGATACCAGTGTACAGTTGCCATACATTTATGGCTTTGTTTAACATTAGGATTAGATTTTTTCTATTGGCTATGAATATTGCAATTTTTCCCCCCCAAAACAGAGGAAATGCCTCAGATTGAAACCAGAGTGGTTTTAATTCAGGAAGCTGGGAAACGTGAGGAACTCTTGAAAGCCTTGGAGGTATGTGGCTTTAACATAAAGAAGTCGTCATAATGACATTGTTTTGACAAACTTCATGTAAGTAATTTAATCTCATACCGAAGTTCTCCTCTTCCACAGACCATTAAGATAATGGAAGTCCCAGTTATAAAGATAAAGGAAACTAGTCCTGGTAAATCGGAAGAAAAGCTAATAAAAAGTATAATTCATATGGTATGTCAGGCATCTATGTGTATATGATTGCATGAAGCATGTTGCACTTCACTGGGACTGGAGTGCACAAACACTTAAATTTCATGATATTTGGGTGTGATGAAGGCACAATAGACAATGTTTCCTGTGGTGTAGTTTGAAGCTAGTTGAGTAGAAACTTGTATCAAATTTGAAACTGCAATTTACTTAAGTGTCTGTTCTGAATCCCTGAACTAACCTATTTGGTGTACTTAATGTGTTCCATGCTTGGATATGGAACTCTCAAATGATATATGTAATGCTTCTGTTTAGACTTTTGTAAGTTTCTTCTATGAACTAGCTTCATAATCAGTTAACTGGCTTTTCTGATTCAACAGTGAAAGAGCTGCAATATATGATTGGTGCATGAACAGTTTTGTAAGCATTAAGTTGTTTCTTAATGTGAAGGATTCTAGAAAATGGAGTTTAGACCTGAAGTCTCCAGATTCAGAGCAGCCTGTAGTTAAACCTTCTGAAATATGAAGTCTAACTTCACGCAGCATGAAACATTCCTTTATGGAATCTTTTGGTCTGCAAGTTGCAACTTTAAATTGCTCAACTGAGTCTATTTTTAGTGAAAGAGTTCCAAAATATACAAACTAAATTCAGATGCCATGAAGGAAAAGATTCACTTTTCTGTTGTACAAGAACAATTGTATCCAACTGAGTTAATGTAACAAGATATTAGTTGATCTTACTCTTATATTGTCAATGTGGCACCCTCCTCCCCCCAAAAAGACTGAGGAAATCCCTAAAGAGAGGTAAAGCCATTAATATTAGAACAGATACTTTAGACTCTTAAACAAGTCCTTAAATTCAGAATCTGAAATCACTTTAGAAACCTAGATCATCACTAGTTCAGTGCTAAGAATATACAAAGACATGGGGTTTTTTTGTATCTTTAAACAGAATATGTAACTTTTTGGAAAACTGTAAAGCTGTCTTTGATACTAAATTTCTTTAACACTTCAAGGTAAAAATAATCTAAGAATGACATACCTAGTAAATGAATGTTGCATGAATGACACTTTTATTTTAATATTGTGTGGAAAAAATTAAGGAAATTAAAGTGCCCTATATCAAGATGGAGTCTGTGGAAGAGTTTGGGGATTCTGAGTCTCCAGAATTTGAGACAGTCTTCATTGTAGCAGACTTTCAAGATACCATCTTGGAGAACTTGTACAAGTTTGACTGTCGTGTTCTTGGACCTCCAATAGTACTTCATTGTGCTCAAAAAGGAGAGGTAAGGTGAAGGCAAATGACCTATACTTTTACTTTATTTGTTGATGGACACTGACAACACATGTAAATAATACTAACATGAAGATTCTGACTACTTTCTTCCTATGGTAGACATTTCATTTAAATTGCGATTATAGCTCTCCTTATTGTTTACGTAGATGAAGATCTGGTATTGTGATGGGGCAGCTATTCTGAATCTCTAAATTCTTCTGAACTGGAGGCATTGCTGAAAGCTGTATCAGTCTTTCTCAGTGCAGAATTCAGGTCATTCACATGTCCGTGTTTCACAACATACATAAATGGCCTTTAAAAAACCAATATATATAGTAAGCACCCATGGCTCTAATTAACGTGACTTGGGATTTGTTGTTCAGCACTTCCGAAAAGTAGGCCATAAATGCAGAGTGAGTGGCTTACAACTGCCAAGCCAATGTGCACAAGTAGCTCAAGCCAGTCAGTTATGTTCACAAATTACTTCTCTTCCCCCACTTCCCTGGGATACCTTTCCAGAGAAATGCTGGAAAAAGTACTAGACCTGGTCTATATACTTGGTTTGGTTAATGGTGTGAGGTTTCTTAACCAAAATAGTCACCCAAGTAAAAGTCCTGGTGTAGATGCAGTTGAGCTGGTATAAAAGTGCCTTATACCATATAGTTTATTCCTTTTCATGTACAGGAATAGATATACTAGTATAAGCACCTTCTATGCCAGTGTAAATGCATCCACACTAGAGGGATTGTACTGCTTCAACTATACCAGTATATTACTTGTAGCACCTAGGATGGTTAAAGCAGTATAACTTTCTAGTGTAGACAAGACATTAATGTAATGTATAGTGTTTTTTCTTTTTGTGTATTGCTTCCTTTTCTTTCTTAACACTTTCGAGAGCCTTGGTGACAACATGAACCCCTTCATTGCTCCCCCTCTTATACTGCTATTTGCAGGTTATTCTCAGAAAGGGAAAGCTACTAGGAATTCAAGTCCTGAGAAATCCAGTTAAATTAACTCATAAAAAAATAAAAACATGGTGTTGAAACTGCTGATAATGATGCCTATGTTAAGTACCATTTGAACCACCCAAGAATGGGTATCCAGCATAGGCTGAAAGTATTTTTATAATCCATTTTCTAATCCCCTCTAAAGTCTGATGACAAAAAAATATTCAAAGTAGGATCTCTGACAGACAGGAGAAGTGCACAAATACTACTTTGCACCAGGAAGAGGTTTAAGGAAATACAGATGCTAATTACTAACACTTACTTGACATTAATAAATTATCTAAAATGCTCCTCTTCTTTGGAATACTGCACTGAGTGAGTAAAGAGTGCTTTAGTGCCAGGCGCTTTTGTCCTACATGGTTGCTGTACGGTGCAGAAGAAGTTATACTTCTAATACTAACAGTTGGGGGATAATAATGCTCTGTTGCAGGACAGTAGTGTATAATATGATCCTACAGGAAACATAGGGACACCTATGATAAAGTTACAACTGTAACAAGTTTACAGCACTGTTTCAGCACAGGCTACAGAGATACTTCAATCATTTCACCAAAATGCTGGCAGTTCCTCTTTCAAGACATACCAGAAAACAATGAGCCTTGTTAATTGGTATCCGGTTGGTATCAGTGCATTTTAATAAAGTTAAAAGCCTGTAGAGCCACTGTCCAAGTTTTTTGTTTAACCTTTTTTTTAAAATAGCTTGTGGTTCTGACTACTGTAACAAATTGTTATTTGATTTCAGCCTCTACCTTTCTCATGTCGCCCATTGTACTGTGCAAGTATGTTGAATCTGGTGCTGTGCTTTACAGGATTCAGGAAGAAAGAAGAACTAGTAAGATTCTTTCTTTTGTCTTACACCCTTGTCCCCTCCCCTTTCTTGGACTGATTGATCTACATGTAACTATGTTCAAGGTAGTTTTCTGTTACATTACCCCTAGTGTACAATGTCTAACGGTTACTAAAGCTTGTATTCTTGAGTACAGTTTTAGGATTCTAGGGTCTACTTAAGACACTCTCCTGCTCCTGTTGAAGACAGTGGGACTCACTGACTTGCATGGGAGCAGGATTGGACCCTTAGGCAGCATCGAGTTGATCACCTAAGAATTTGACCTGTCACTTGTGTTGGATAATGTACGTGCTCTTGAGTGCACTCAAGTGAAACTTGGATATCCTGTTCAGAGCATTTGGAGTGTCACTGCCATGTACTGTAATCGTGTCAGAACTACAGCAGCATCGTTCCCGATCAGTAGTCAAATGGGAAACTTTGATATTACAAGAAGCAACTGATAATTCACTTGGTGTCTTGCTATCATATAAGCCACTACTGAATCAGTGTTCTGGCATGGTATCAAGGCAAACTGTACTGCTGGAGATGCTGGCAACTGCATGAAGCACAGAGCCAAGACCATCTTCCAAGAGCTAGGAGTTAACTCTGATGTCCTGCCAGACTCAAACTGAGCAGTCCACATTCATTTGTTCTAAACTCCTGTTTTTTTTGTTTTGGTTTTTTCCCCCCAGCCAAGTATGTTAGCCTTCATTTCTATGTTTTAATAGCCCAGAATCCAAAGAAAACTGCCAGTTCCACTTACAGAAGTGGCAGCATGACAATGGGCTATGATATGTTGGGAGTCATCTTGTTTAGTGGCTTTGTGCTGCTAGGTAAATTTTTGACTTTGATGGGGTGAGATGATTGTGAAGCAGCATGAGCAGCTAACTGTATAGCTGAGAAAACAGCAATGGTGACTTGTATGTTTCCTTAAAATACATTTGATTATATGTTAAATACTTCTAAGGCAGGTAACATTTATGGCTTGCCAACCATGTCTCCTTTTTAAAAATGACTCCTTTAACTACAACAGTACAGGTTAAATGAACATGCAAAAGCTTTAAGTTCCAGTGTAATTTGTATGGTGTGTGCATAGACCTCTTGTCTTTGTCCCTTCATTAACAGCTGTAAGTTTCAAAAAGTGTATGATTCTCTTACTTCCTGACTCTTGCTCTTCAGGTTAAGCTTGTGACCTTGGTTCATCATATGGGTGGAATTATTCGAAGGGACTTCAGTTCAAAAGTTACACATCTGGTGGCTAATTCTACGCAAGGAGACAAATTCAGAGTACGTGAACTTGAGTTTGCACTTCAAGCACTTCAAAAAGTTTCTCAGTGTAGATTGACCCTTTCAAATCAGACCTTTTATTTTAACTTGGAGCAGATGCACTTTTGTAATGAAGAAAATATGCTAAGTAGAAAGGATTAAAGATTTCAGCATATCTTTACTTCCGTGATGTCAAGCTTTAAAAATAACAGGTGGTAATTGTTTAGCTGTTGGAATCAAGAAATGGCCTGTTTTTTAAAAATACCTTTTGTCTAAAGGCTTTTGTTACAGATGAAAACAACCTCTGAAAATAAGCATTTTGTCTCTTGTGAAGTACTTAGCATTAAGTTAACTGAGACCACTGCAATTAAGGTTTCAGAGCACTTATCAGCTTGTTCTGCTTCTATGGGTGTGCCTACACTACAATAAAAGACCAGCGGCACAGCTGCAGCTGACCCTGGTCAGCTGACTTGGGATGCTGGGCTAACAATTACAGGGTAGAGGCTCAGGTTGAGATCCACCCCCTTTGTGGGATTACATCACAGAGGCTGGTCTCTAGTCCAAGCCTGAATGTCTACACTGTTTTGAGCCCCATGGGCCTGAGTCAATTGACCTGGACTCTGTGACTTGGTGCCACAGATGTTTTTGTTTTTTATTGATGTGTAGATGTACCCTATACTTTTCACAAGTATCAGGAACATTTGTTGGTATAATACAGAACATTAAGGGTGCCTTATATACATAGCAAATGTCTTTAAGTGCTGATCGTATTCCATCTTGTGTGCTGTGTAACTTGACCAGTATTGGCTGCAACTGCTGTTGGAAACTTAATGCATTACATAAAGATACAAAGTGGAAATCAAAATTGTATAGCTAATACGGAACACTTCCATCTTTTTAGGTCAATAGAAGGACCCTGCTAGTTACAGCAATAAGCCTTCATAGTCTCATTCTACTATACTAAAACAAAAAGAAAAGGAGTACTTGTGGCACCTTAGAGACTAACCAATTTGAGCATAAGCTTTTGTGAGCTAAGCTTATGCTCAAATTGGTTAGTCTCTAAGGTGCCACAAGTACTCCTTTTCTTTTTGCAAATACAGACTAACACGGCTGTTACTCTGAAACCTATACTAAAACAACCATTCTTATGTTTTGGTCAGTATGTTGATCATTACAGGGAAAAGCTTTGCTGTCTGGATGCAAGTTTACTGTGTGTATATATAGCTAATACACTCTGAATCTTTATTGGGATTTCTATATTTGATTTGGCACAGGCTACCAAAACACAACTATCTCCTTGCAATGGAAGCAGTGACAATTCTATTGTGGGGACGACCCTAAATTATGTCCTGCTGGATGTTCTGAGGGTGGGAAGAAGTGTCAGAATAAAATAAGTAAAAAAGGATACGATTTGGTCTTTAACGAACCTCTGTGACGTCTTTGGCTTCAACCCCTACCATAGAAGCAGTGCTCAGCCTTCAGTCTCTCCTGGCAGTTGCCACCCCCCCTGTGGTTTTTTTTAGTAAAAGTTATGAATAGGTCAAGGCCTTCTGTAAACTTTTTTTGTTTTGTGACTTTTACTGAAAATAACCATGACCCAATTTTAACCTTAAAAATAGGCTAATGCAAACCTTCAAAAACTGTAAGCTGCAGATGCAAGTTTGTGGTAATTTCTCTCTTATCTGAGCAAAGGTAGAAACATTTTTCACTGGATAATGTACTTCTAGGCTGCAGCTATCATTGTAAATGGGGTACAGCTTAACGCTCACATTTACTGGGTAAATGTTGAAATGGATGTTGTGGCTTTGAGTCTGTTAATGAGTAAAGATACTTGCGCATCTAAAGATTCTCTGTACTGTAATCACTCTACCTACAGTGATACTACTACTACTTGGTTATCTGCTGATAGACATAGTATAAGGTGGGGTGCATAACTAGTTAAGACTGTACTCAGAGTAATTACCAATGGTTTGTCACAGTGGGAAGACTTATCTAGTGGCGGTCCCACAAGGATCTGCCCTGTGTTCAGTAGCATTAAATATTTTCATTAATGACTTGGGTAATGGAATGGAAAGTGCACTTATAAAATTTGTGGATGACATCACGCTGGAAAGAGATGCAAGCACTTGTGAGGACAGAATTAGAATCATAAAAGACACTGATAAATTGGAGAATTAGTCTGAAATCAACAAGATGAAGGTCAATGACAAGCGCAAAGTACTTCACTCAGGAAGAAAAAAATGAAATAACTGGCTACAGAGTATTACTGCAGAAAAGAAACTGGGGGTTATAAGTGGATCACATATTGAATGAGTCAATGTGATGCACTTATGGAAAAAGGCCAGTATTATGGGTCTATTAACAGGAGTGTTGTATGAAGACCTGGGAGGTAAATTGTCCTGCTTTACTTGGCACTGGTGACACCTCCGCTGCATTACTGAGTCCAGTTTTGCTTTGAAATTTTAAGAAAGATGTGGGTAAATGAGCATCCAGAGGAGAGCAATAGTGGGCTAAAATTTAGGAAACATGACCTATGAAGAAAGACTTTAAAAATTGGGTGGGTTGACAAGTGGTGAGGGGGCCCTCCAAAAGTCTCCAAATATGTTAAGGACTGCTCCAAAAAGGATGGTGATCAATTTGTTAAAGTCCACTGACGGTAGGAAAAGAAATAATCTTACTTTACATCAAGGGAGGCTTTGGCTAAATATTAGGGAACACAGTCTAATTGTAAGGATAGTGAAGGACTGCAATAGGTTATCTAGGGAAGCTGTGGAATCCCTGTCACTGGAGGTTTTGTAAGAATAGTTTAGACAAACGCCTTTCAGGGATGTCCGTCTCAGTGTGTGCGGATGGACTAGATGACCGCTCAAGGTCCATCCGGCCCTACATTTTCTGTGATTTCTGTTTCTCGGAGGAATAACTTCATCCTTTTTACAATACCCGATTTCCAAATTAGAAATGTTGCCAGGAATCTTTCTCCAAGTTTGGAAGGAACTTAAATGGAAAGTTCACTTGTCATAGCTAATGACTTCCTTCTCCTTCTAGCTTGCTGTGAGTCTGGGAACTCCTATTGTGAAAGCTGAGTGGATTTACAAGGCTTGGGAGAGAAGGAATGAAATGTAAGTGTTCCAAAAAAAAAAAAACCCAAACCCCACTCAATTTGTACCTTTTCTATGGTACAAAAACAAGCTTCTATATAGTAGTGACAGTAAATATACAACTGGTTTTAATGAATATTTATTTTTAAGTGACTTCCGTGCGGCTGATGAAGAATTCAGAAATGAGTTCAAGGTTCCCCCATTCCAAGACTGCATGTTAAGTTTCCTTGGATTTTCCGATGAAGAGAGAATTAACATGGAAGAAATGACAAAAATGCAAGGTTATTGTTATTGATCACATTTGCAATGGAATTTATAGGCAATGCATTTTTATCTTTAAATCTGTCTAAAACTAAAATGCTGACTCTTTGCATGTAGGGAGATTTGAACAGATCTATTTAAAAAGCTACATTTAACTTTAGATCTCGGGGGCATAAAGCATGTAGCAAAAACAAAAAAACCACACACCTCGCTTTGGTACGAAATAAGTTTGTTTTTTCTGCAACGCTGTGGATTCAAAATTGTTGCTTTTACTATTTCTTTCCTGCCATCCACCCCCTACCCCTTCCTTCCTCCACATCTAATCGTCAATATTTAACTTTTTGGGAAGTTGGTTAGAAAAACGTGCAGTGTGTATGCTTGGCTTCTTCTGACTCAAAGTTGCATTCCACAAATATCTGTTCAAGTGTGTTACTTGAAGCGTGTAGTACTCACAAGTTTTATTATGTATTTGCAAGAAAATAAATCCCTTGTATAGAATTTATGGCCAAATATTTGTTTCCCTTCAATAGTGTAATACAATGTAATGAGACTACTTGGCTGACTCGGTTGGTTTAAGGTCTGTTCGTACAGTGCTGTGTGTGTGTAATGTTTTATATATGAGAATCTTGTAACTAAAGTTTTTCATATTATATAGAACTGCACCAACTATTGTCATGCAAACATTATACAACTGAGCCTTTATCAAGACAGAGGGAAGGAGTCTCCCTCTTTCAATGTCCTTGTAGCCCATATGGTACAGCTAGCTTTACAATGTACATAACTTCCCATTTGTAATGGCTGTTTAGGTAAGCCATTTCTGGCTTGCTCTTTAGGAGCAATGTCTTTGTTGGAGTCCCGTTCTCAGACATTCTCAAAGATGTTCTCCAAATTATTTTTAAAAAATAATCCCTAGTGGCACCTGAGCTCCAGGAGAGCAAGAGATCTCTCCCTTTTTTTAACTTCCACCATAGCAGAAACTGTGAACTTGGGGAGGGGCTATAGTCCTAAATGGTGCACCTTGGCTTATCGAGGCTGTCCCCTGAAGTTGTACTGCAATAGAATGTCTGCTGATACTGTCGTCGTTTCCAGAGTGGTGTGTGCCGGGGGTGCCCAGGATGCAGCTGTCTCAAAACTTGCTGACCAACTCCCCCTTCATCTTGCATCTTCTCTCCTTCTTTATTACTCCTTCTCTACCCCAACTTTGATACTACTTCAAAATAATCTCTTACCAAAACTTTAGATGCCTAATTCTTCAGTTAATTTGATTTATTCTCTTACTATAGGTGGGCAGTACTTGCCAGTTAGTGATGACAGGTGCACACATCTGGTTGTTGAAGAAAATACAGTAAAAGATCTCCCATTTGAGCCTCCAAAAAAACTTTATGTTGTAAAGCAAGAGGTTAGTGTAAACAGAAGTCTTAGTACTAGAGTATTTTTTTAATCATTCAATATGTAAGCAACAATTCTATTGGGTATATATAATATATATTCTGAATGAACATAGTTACACTTTGAGGATTTTTTCATACGTGTATGTGGTATTGAATATCTCAGGTTAAAAGCTTGTATCAAGTTTTTGAAACCAGTTATAAAAGACTTTCTTTTCCCCATATAGTGGTTCTGGGGAAGCATTCAGATGGATGCCAGAGCTGGAGAATCCATGTACTTATTTGAAAAGGTATGTTGACCTTTAGTAGTATTGTAATATGTTGACTCTGAAAGCTCACATCCTGCAAATACTTAACTTGATTACTGTGAATTGTCCACTGAAACTGATGGGATTACTCACAGTAATAAAGTTAAGCATGTGTATAAGTATTTTAGGGCTTAATTTGGATGCTGATAACTCATGATGACAGTATATTTCTAAAATTCCTAAATTCTCTTGAAGCATTCAGACTAAAACTTAAACATGTGATTTACTTGGACATTGCTTGCTTAGTAGTCACTTCATGGTGGTCTCGCAGTTATGCAGTACAGAATTTTTAAAGCTGGAAAAACAAACACAGCCTTTTTTTAATAGAAATCCTGTTTAATAACCTAAGGGACTGTAGTGTTTTAAACTATTAACATGTTTGCTGTATAAAACTTTCAATTATTTTGTTTAATCATACAGCAAAATGGGGGCAACTGTCTTGTGTAGTGTATATATAATCTCTTTTCTGTAGTCTATACAGAATCAAGTTGGAGGCAGTGACTAAAAGTACTAAACTGAATTTTCATATCTAATTACAGCCAGAGAGTCCTGAACTCAAAAAGTCAGTGTCGCAACTTTCTCTGAATACCCCAAATAGCAATCGCAAGAGACGTCGCTTGAGAGAGACCCTTGCACAGCTCACCAGAGAAACTGACATGTCACCATTCCCTCCTCGGAAACGCCAATCAGCTGAGCATTCCCTTTCTATGGGGTCTTTGCTGGATATTTCTAATACGCCAGAATCCATCATTACCAATGGAGGTAGTTGAAAGAGGTTTAACCAAGCTTACCAGTGCTTAAAGCAGTATTCTTTGCAAATTACAGAAGTAGAAAAAATAAGCTATGCTACAGTTCTGACAAATAACTACAGGCTTTCTCCCTTTCAAATTATGCAGGGAGCAGAATAGGAGTGAGGCATTCAGACACAGGTAGAGGCCAGGCCAGCTGTCGTCATGTCAGTAGATGTAGTCAAACATGGAGGAAAAAATACACATTTACCAAATATAAATCTCCAGATAATGTTACTCCAAAGCAGTGTGTGAAACTTGTGAAAAGTCTCCAGCAAACAAACAAGGTAGCTAGCATTAAGTCCTCTGGAAACCTAGGCAATAACATACCCGGAAAAGGGACAGTATCAAATCTCCAAAAAAAGATCCTTTTTCCAAAGGAAAGCAAAAAGATCCCTGTAAGGCCGACTTATCTTGAAGCCTTGAAAGATACTTTTGCCTCATGTCAACATCTTGTAGGGACAAATAACATATCAAACGTGCCACAAGATTGTGAAGAACCAACTTGCTTAACTTATGTTGACCAATTAACTAACCCAGAAACTAATATCTCTGCATTTGGTTCCTGTGGCAGAGAGCAAATTGCAAAATTCACAATTAGTCAACTCCTGGAACTTGGACTCCAGAATAAACCCCAATTCCAACATGCAAGAGAGAGATCTGGAAATGCTACAGATGTAAATATGAATACCCTGACTTGTATGAACACCTGTGATTATGTCCAGCAAGTAACCTATGGCCATAATCATCAGGGAAAGGACAGCAAGGACCAATGTAGCTTTATAAATGAAACATCTTTGATAGAGGAGACTAATGTTTTAGTAGGAGACTCTGAACCTTCTTCTGATTCAAAATCAAAAGCCAGTTACAGTGATACCAGTGCTGCTCTGATAACAGGTAAGAGTACTTGCTGCAGGCGCAGTAATGTTGAAGTTGATCAGTACAAATTCAGAAAAATCAGGCATAAACTTCCCCTCTAAGCAGTGTTTGTTAAATGTACGTCATCTACTTGGGATGTGACCATGTCATTCTTCAGAATGTACAGAATATCCCAAATCAACCTCTGAGTCTGTATTCCGAACACCACTAGCTGCACAACTAGTTCCCCATGAGTCTCTCCTGTAGGGATAGAGGTTTTCAGGCTTTGCATAATGTGGACCTTATCTTTAGTCTTATACACCACGTACCATTTCATTGGCAGTTGCTCATCTCATGACAAATGCTTACATGGAAAAATAACAATGAGAAAAATACTTACACTTTTTTTTAATAGCATTCAGCAGCTAGAAATAGAGAGGTACCTTCATATGAACAGGCAGCTCTCTGAACCACTAGAGTGGTGCACCATTTTGAGAACTAATCCTATAGGATATAAAATTAAGGTTTTTTTAAACAAAAAACTGATTACAGTACTCTCCCTAGCTTTATGGATATTATCCATAGTGTAATGTCACTGTCCTAGGGCACTTGACAGTCCTAGTAGGAGCTTTAGCCCAAACTCAAACTCTGTCAACAGTACACATCTTACAATGGCACAGCTGTACTGCTGCAGCTGCACCACTGTAAGGTCTCCGGCCAGCATAATTAAACCATCCCTAACTAGCGGCAGAAGCTATATTGGTAGGAGAGCGTCTCCTGCCAACATAGCACTGTCCACACTGGCACTTTTTGTTAGTGAAACTTGCGTCACTCAAGGGTGGGGTTTTCCCCCCCACACTCCTGACTGACCAAAGTTTTACTAACAAATGTGCCAGTGGGGAGACAGCCAAAAGAAGTCTCCCGCTAATGGAACAAATGTTCTCCTTGCATCAAAAAAGATAATATAACCTTTCTATCCCTTTTCGATATTAAAGGGGATACCTTTAACAAAAGCAGCTGATCTTTCTGATAATCTTGAGAATCCGTTTTGAAGATTTTAACACAATTCTAAAATAGTCTGTCTCTTTCCCTTTCGTCAGAAACACCAAAATCCTCTTCAAAGCCTTCCAAAAATTCAACTCCTCTGCCTGCAAAGCAGTCTGCAAGATGGCAGGTTGCAAAGGAACTGTATCAGACAGAAAGTAATTACGTAGATATTCTGACAACAATTATTCAGGTAAGTTGTTAGATTTGCTACTGTATCTAGATGAGTCTATTTAATTTTCAGTCCCACCACTGATTTGCAGTTTGATACAGCCTCCTCTTTGGAGGATCTCAAAACACTTGGTGTTTATTAAAAACTCCCCTTTTCTCGACTGATGTCAAAAACCTACTCTAGTGAAGATCTGGAGAGAGAGAGAGGCATAAGACTTCAGAAAAAAGAAAAGGAATTTGTTCAGCATGCTTTTTTTTTAAAAAAAACTATACAAAAACAGACAACTAAAATATTGAATGCCATTGAGCTAATTTCCTTTGCAGTAGCTGATCATACATTTAAGAATGAGCTCAAATATGATTCATCAATTAGAGATGTTGTAACATAAGCCTTTGCCCTACTTTTCTAATGTGGTGGTTACAGAATGGAACGGCCTTGATAATGGATGAATTTAATGCTTCTACCCTCAAACCCAGGATTTACTATGTGGCATAATACAAAACACTCCAGTGAAGTGTGGGAATGAGGAGTTCCTCTTGTCAAGTTTATGGTTATAGAAAACATGACCAGGAAATAAAACATTGCAAATCTTTCCTTCACACCAATATTTCAAGTTTAATAGTGGTTAATATGTGTATACATTATCTCAAAGATGAAAGCTGAATCCATTAAATTTTTGTTCGTTCTTTCAGTTATTTCAAGTTCCTTTGGAAAAAGAAGGGCAGCTTGGAGGACCTATCCTTGCACAGGAGGAAATTAAGACCATATTTGGCAGCATTCCAGATATCCTTGATGTGCACACTAAAATAAAGGCTAGTTTTGTCATGCTTATCTCATTTTCTTTTTTCCTCCAGACCATCAGTTATTTTCCAACTTGAGTTATTTATTGTGTGTAGCTTTTAACAGTAGACATCTGTTCCACTCAATTGGAGGGGGTATTCTTAACTTGCTTGTGTTGTATAATGCTGTCTGGTTCAGAATGACTGGCTGCCATGTTTTGTCTTGAGTTGGCTCTATTTCAGGACTGGTGAATGATGTGCAAATCTAAAACAGCTTAGGATCCTGCAGGATCAAAGGCCCTGTACATATAAGTAGGTGGTACTTGTAGATTGAATGTAGAAGACTTCAGACCATTCTACAGTAGATATTGTAGAAACTCTTCATTCAGATTACTCCACTCCACAGGCTGGCTTGTTTCATTTCCTTCTCAATAGCTGCTTTCACAGGGAGATCTCTCTAGCTGTGGGATTTTTTTTTGGGGGGGGGGGGGGGGTCTTTGACTGACCTGGGCCCACATTCTCAAAAATAGTCTAACATTAGGCTAACTTTCCGAAGTGTTGAACACCCAGCAATTCCCACTGGAGTAAAGAGCAAAGACACTGAAAAATAACTGGGATGTGTGTGTCTTATTTTTAAAAAGGTTTGTCAGATTTTTGGTGTCCAGCAGTAGATTCCTTAAAGGGGCCTGACTGTTCAGAGGGGATGAGCATTCATCACTTTGTGAAAATCAAACCCCTTTAAAAAGTGCCTTGAATTGGCCACACACAATCAGTTGTTTTTGAAAATCTTGGTGTAAGCTTCTATTTCTAAAGACTTTAGTGTGGAACTGAGGCATGCGCTGAAGTTTGGGGTGAAATATAGCCTGCATCACTCAGTCTCTACTCTTAGTTTGGACACTTGATATGCAGGTTGCTGTCTAAATGAGCCATTAAGGTTGTTTTTTTGCTGCAATATGGCATATCAAGGAGCCATAACATTGAATCTCCTGATGAAATGAGATACAAATTTCAATCAAATGAAGAAAGATTTTTGCTTTTATAGTTTCAGAAAAAACTTAGTATGCAATTGCAAGATGCTATTTTTGGTGGTTTTGGACTTTCAGTCCTGATTCATATTTGCATAGTCTGGAATAGAGGCTTTCGGACTGCTTGCTTCCTTCTCAAATTAATTTTTAATAATCTTAGAAATTATACTGTATTTTGGAGCATTGTTATCAATGCATTAACTGGGAAACACACAACATACACCTGCAAGTAGGTGGTACTCAAGGTGGAGAAGGTGAAGGACACTTGCTTCTTTCCTGTTTTCTTTTTCTTGGTAAAAAGGAAGAGCAGCACAGGAACAAGACACTCAAGTGACTTACACATGGCATAGGCTGTAAGTGCAAAGGCCTAGGATCGAACAATCCTAGCTGCCACATAGAGCACTGTAGAAACAGCACTGCTTGAAGTGCATGCTGGTCCTTTTCACTGTCTGCTCAGGATGCACTGAGTGCTAACACACTCCTAGCTCTGACATCAGCCAATGAGTATAAACCTGTGTAGTGTGACATGCTGGAACTGAAGTTGGCAACATGAGCAAGGTTTCTGTGGTGCTCTGGTGCAGTTGATAACTTTTTGTTTAAAATTTTTAAACAATAGAGTTTTAATGGAATAACTATGAAAGTAAATAGAATCACTTTTATAGCCTTGCTATTTTGAGATTAATTCAGTTTGTGCCCTCTGCATAAGTCCTACTTGTGGGATGCACTGGTGTGGATGCAATTCAAATGGTGGAACCTTCTCAACAGTGCCTGATAGACTGCTCATGTGTTTGTCCTATGCTTTCCCTCTGTGTTCCTGACCATGAAAGAGGATATGGCATCCTCTTCCACCTCAGTTCCTTCCAACTGCAGCAGCAATTGTGTGTGAACCATCAGGATCCATTGAACTTAGATCTTTCTCTTGAGAAGAACTTAGTGGTTTATCTAGCTTTAGCTTTACTTTTTAATGTAGTTTGTAGTGTTAGTTGTGGTAATTTTAAGTTTAATTAGTTAATGAACAGTTTTTATTCTTCAGTAGTAAAGTCTGAGATTCTTCAAGTTGATTCAGACATGTATTCCACTTAAGTGCATGTGCACTGGTGCTAGAGAATCTTGCGTATCAGTACCCTTAGAGGGACTGTGCTCACACCTCATGGCTGTAGTCTCTCCCCTACCTATGTGAGGCAGCACCACCCTGTCCCTTCCTCTGTTCCTTCTTGCTACCTGTGGCTGGAGTTGGAGCTTGGAGTGGTTTAATCACACATTTCTCTCGACAACATTACCATCAGTAGCATGCTTTTGTACAGCCTTTCCCTCCTTTGAGGCAGTGGGACTATCCCAGGGTTAAGTCAATCTACACAAAACCAAGGCCAAACTTTGCAGCCTGAGCTCAGCTCCCTGCATCTTGGGGCGTGGCTGCTGCAGGGCTGAATGAAGAGGAACAGCAGTGTTCAGGTGACTGTCCAAGTCCTCCTCAATAGTAGAAAGCCCTCCATCAAGGTGGCCTATTCAGCAGTGTAAAAGGGCCTTTGGTGTGGTCATTAGCCACAGAGTCCAACCAATACTAGCTTCTAGCCAGGACATTTAGGAGTACCTGCTGCACCTTAGTTGGGGCTGGTGATGACCTCCTTGAAAGTACATTTGGCCAAGATATTGGCTATTTCATCCACCTATTCAGGGATGATCAGTCATCTCCAATGCTATGGTGGCAAGATTTGTGAAAGAGCTCCTTTTGTCTGCATCTTCCAGTTCAAGAGTCTTTCCCAATGTGGAACCTTAATGTAGTCCTTGCAGCCTTAATAGGACCTCCCTTTGAGCCCCTGACATCTTGTCCATTCCTGATCCTGTGTCAGAAAACCACATTTTTGGTAGCCATAACATCTGCTACCAAAGAGTGAGTTGCAGGCTCTGATGGCACAGCCTCCTTGTATAGAATTTTCCAAGGATAAAGTGACTTTATGATTACTCCCAAAATTCTTGTTTAAAGTGGTTTCTCAGTTGCTCTTGAACCAGGTGGTATATTTACCTGTGTTCTGTCTGATCCTCTGGAAAGGAATGCAGCTTCAGAGTCTTCATACATTAGACATCAGGCAATGCTTAGCCTTCTACCTGGACAGGAGCAAACTGTTTTGTACTTTGCCTCATTTGTTTCTTATGCAGATCCCATGAAGGGTCAAGCAGTCTCTTACCAGATCTCCAAGGGGATAACATCCTGCATTAAGACTGTATATGAAATAACTTCAGCCGCACCCACTCAGCGGGTATGAGCTCTTGCTATCGACATTGCTTGTGCTCTTGTAGAATTTCTCATAAATGTTTCCATATGGACATCTGTAGGGCTGCTATTCGGTTATCTCTTCATATGTTCACAAACCATTATGCCATAATCGCATCTTTTGGGATGGATTTGAATGTTAGTGTCCTGCAGCCTTCGTTTAGGTAGACTCCAAACCCTGCTTCCTAGGGCAGTACTGCTTGTGAGTCACCTAAGTGGAATACCTGGCTGCATTGAGTCGAAGAAACTGTTACTTACTGTAACTGGGTCTTCAAAATGTGATGCAGATATTTATTTGATGACCCACCCTCTGTCCCCTCTGCAATGGAGTCTCATCTCCAGGCATAGGTGCCAAAGAACTGGGGAAAATTGGGGCGGCGCTGCCTCATGCAGTCTTGGGAGGGACTACCACCATGAGGTGTGAGCACTCTCCCTCTATGGGTACTACTAAACAAAAATCTCCAGCTCCAGCGTCCTGGGCACATGCACGCATAAGTGGAGTACACCCCTGCATCACATCTCAAAGAACCACAGTTACACTAAGTAACTGTTTCTCCCATGGTGGATTGAGAAGTTGAGACCTGGCTTCCAAAGGTGTATCTCTCGTCCAACAGTCTTTCCTTTGTTGGACGTCCACACAACGTGCTTGGTGTGCCTCTGAGCATCCTTAAAGGAAAGTGGACCCTCTGAATCCACAGCACTTGTACTCAAAGGGTACACGATGACTGTCAGAACAGGCTGAAAGCCATATTGTTTAAGAAATCCTGGTTGCAAAGCTGCCCAGATCTGACACATCTTATCCAAGGTGAACAGGGCACTGATGGCCTTTAGGGACTAGAAAGACACTATGCAGAAGGCTCCAATCTTTGCCATAGGACTTCTGTTTAGTTGGTTCCTAAATCATTGGATCTGACTTAGTCAATCCTGGCCTCTGAAATAAAACCCAAACCATGAGGAAAAAAATTTCAGATGCTTTTATGTCTTTTCAAGAGACTGAGATAAGGTTCCTGTTAGTAGGGCCCAAATGCATGCAGGAAACCCTTTGGTTTTGGATCAGAGAATCCTAAATCGGACAAAGATTCTGGTTCAGGGTAAAATCCCTGCCTAAGAGTTGTCACCCTTCGTTCTCTGAAGATCATCCCAGAGCCAGCAGTCAGGGCCGGGTCGGTAAGAGGTGAGAACCCAGCAGGGAACATCCTTCCACACAGATTTTGTCTCCTGGTTCTCAGCTGGAAATGCTTTTCAAAGGGGGACTGAAATGATGAGAAGTCTCTTTAGGTGTTTGCCCTCCTTTTTCTCTCTCTCTCTCTCTCCCTGCCCCTTTCACTCTTTGCACCTGAGAAGACACAAGCAGCAGCTGTTGGACTCTGGGGTAGGCACCCTGACCTAGAATTTGGTCAGTAATACTGTTTTTGAAGCATATGGTGATTGAGCAACTTTGCTTGAATCTAATATAGTTTAAGTTGGGCATTAAAAAGCATTTTATCTTGTGTAAACTTTTCTTACTCTTATGCCTCATTGCTTATACTCAAAATTCATTTCTTTGTAGTTTATAAATTCTTATTGGTTTTATCTAATCCAGTGTGTTTTAAGCCAGTGTCTGGGTAACTCCATTTAAGGTGGCAAGTAGTTGTATGTTGTTCCCATAATAGACTTATATATTTGAACTGTCCATGAGAGGGCTGGGCAGTACATTCCTGGGGGGAAATCCAGGACTGGGCATGTGTTGGGGTCACCGTGCAGTATAACTAATGCAGAGTGATTGGTAGGCTACAGTTACACAAACACATCTGGGAGTGACCTGCACGCTGGCAAACTGTTCATTAGTGGTCCAGGTTGAGAGCTAGGGCATTGCAAGGCACTTCAGATTGTAGGGCAAGGGTGACACAGCACCCCAGTGGTCTGGATTACACCCCAGTATGTCACACTTAACAGGTTCCGTTATCTCTATTTGGGTTGGAGGGAGAAGAGGAAAGTGATAGTTTATCTTACGAAGGGTTTTCATTCTCTCCCACATCCTTTCCCTAACTACCGTCACTGGGAGTTAATATCCCATTTGAGAATGCAGGACCTTTCCATGTCTATTTATCTGCAAACTGGGAGATAACCTTGTTTTGACTTACACTTAGATGATGATTGGAAAGCTGTTTCACAATGATGAATGCGAGGCATATGTACGTTTGTACGATTTGTAAGCTTAAAATCTGGAGCACAGTTCTATAGCAAGTGTTGGATTCCATAGCAATTGCCGCACAATGTCAGGCCTTGAGTAAAGAAATGTATAAATATTAGCTGTACAACTTAGATACATGGATCTTTTAAATCAGGCTGCTTATTGTCTTCCTAATACAATTGTTTATATTCCAGGAAGACCTTGAAGGCCTTATGATAAACTGGGCTGAAAGCAAAAGTATTGGTGATGTCATTCTTAAATATGTAAGTTATTTTTACAGTAGCTGTAAACTGGTTTTTACTAATGTAATCTAAAATGCATTGAGGAACACCACTAATCTTTTTGGATGAAAACTGCTCTGTACATATTTCTCATTAGTGTATCCAGGATAAATCCTCAGTTGTCAATTTAAATAATGACAGAGTAAGGAAGCTCCTGTAGTAACTCATGTTGAACTAAAGACTTCTTTCTCTCTTGTATTGTAATGTTGGGCAGAGCTCCAAAAAGCTGTGTACAGACGTTTATCCAGACTTTAGAAACCAGGCTTGAAATGTTACAAAGATTTTTCCTGTAACCTCTGGTATTCCACTGCAGTTTGAATAAACTGGGAGCACCAAGAAAACAGCCTGTCAGTTTTGTAATTGTGTGGTTGTACTTTATTGCTTCCACTTCATTCCTAGTGAAAAGATGCATGGGGGAGGGGAGAGGGTAGTTGAAGAGGGAATAAATTTAAACCAACTCAGAGGGTTAGTTTTAGTCAGACCAGGATTTCCTATCCCTTGGTAATGAATATGCAAGAAGGTAAGGACAAATGTAGTTCAAGACAAACAACAATTGGAATACAGTTGTCCAATGCTCTCCCTGACTATCGACAATAGGCTTCATTTGCCTTACTGTGGCCATATTTTCAACTGTCACGTTCACACATCTTAGCCCAAGATAAAACTACAGGCAACCCTGTGACTTCTTCTGTAGGATGAGGAAGAAAATCGGTGCAGAAAAGGGTTTCTGTTTTCAAGCTTCAAGGAAGGTGTGGTCTAAACAGTAAGACCCTCAGAAGTCCAGAGTGGAAAATGGCGACAGCTTTCAAAGCTGTCTTACTACTGTAATACAATGTACATAAAGACTGCTTGCTTGTTTACCTAAGGTCTATGCTTAAAGCATTTTGCAATATTTTTTTCAGTCAAAAGACTTGTTGAAAACATACCCTCCTTTTGTGAACTTCTTTGAAATGAGCAAAGAAACTATTATGAAATGTGAAAAACAGAAGCCACGGTTTCATGCTTTCCTAAAGGTATTTATGCACTGAACTTTATTTTCAGCAACTTTTTGAATATATTACTGAGATTAAAGTTTAATACCACTAAAAAATTCACTAACTCAGTGAATCTTTAGATTTCAGTTAGGGGAAGGAAAACTACAATAGAACTGTAAATTTTGGGTATGGGGTAGAATGGGAGGTTTAGGCACTATAATCCTCAGCACTTCTTCAAACCTTTATAGAGAAGTGGCATTTAGCAACCAGTATGTGACATTAGTGTCTCCAGGGTAACAGACTGTCTGAAACAAGGCTGTTACATTTAAAATGTAACAATCATCAGCACCTCCAGAAAGTGTTGATATCACTGTGGGATTAAGTTCGTGAAAACAAATGAAGGGCATCTTGCTGCTTCTTAGATGGGCAACCTATTTTTTCTGGACTAAAACAGATTTAACTCTCCTTGGTTGAATTTTGGCTATTTCCAGTGTTAGGAGGTTGGGGGTTTCTAACTACAAGTTGGCTCTTCATCGCTATTAAAAATAAGATGGAAGGCACTGGGTCAACTGGTAGACCATGTTAATGCTTTCATAAGGGAGGTCAGGGAGCCACAGTCACTCAAAAGATTTTTGAGCCTGTTCAATAGTTACAACAGTCAGGATTTTGCCAACTACTGCCCTCTATAACTTATCCTTCTTGGGAAGTGGTTATTCAGAAGGTGGTCAAACTCTGGTATTTGAAAGTCTTGGATTGCCTTCATTCCTAGACCTGTATGTGGAATACTAGAACTGGTTTCTTTTGCAGATTGAGTGATGGATAAGAATTGAATTGGATAGCAAAATTGACAGACTTAACACCTACTATCAACCTGATTTGGGGGGGGTGTGTGGATAGGATTGCACTTGGATGCTACTGTGCGCCACTTTTCAGACTGCCCGAAGGAGGGGTATCTTTAATATAGAAACAAAGGGGTTGGGAGTGAGGGAAGGGTTCCTTTTAGACTCTGTAGTGGAGTGATAACTTGCTTAAACATAAATCTAGGTAATAGTTGTTCAAAAATAGGCTTTAGACCTAGTTTTAACAAAAGCTGTGTAAATGGAACTGAATGAGCACCCAGGGGTGTTGCAGTAGTCCAGAACTTTCACATTGCTGTTACTTGTATTTATAGATTCTCTTTTAATAGTGTCTTTTTTGGCATACACTATGCAAGTGGTAAGAGAATTGAAAGTACTCTTTAACATACTAACTTGAATTCTAGTTTCATATCTCAGGAATGTAACTGAGAATCCGCTATGCTTAAGAACTTTTTTTAATTCCCTGTTAGATTTCTCAAGCAGAAAAGCCTGCATGTTGCTCTGGTGTAAAATGCAATGCCTTTCTCCTTTCTAGATAAACCAAGCTAAACCAGAGTGTGGCCGTCAAAGTTTGGCTGAACTACTCATTCGACCAGTTCAGCGCTTGCCTAGTGTTGCTTTACTTCTAAATGGTAATTTTTTTTGGTACCGTTTTGGGTCAGACACCTGGCTTATTAGGCAGTAAATGAAAAGTGGTGGTTGCTGTTTAGATGAATTAGAATCTTATTTCAATGTTCCAATCGTAGTTGGTAAAGCCAAGAGCCAGATTGTGTGGTATGTATTTCAGTAGATTCAGTTGGTCATATGCTTCACTTCAGCATACAGGTATAGACAAGCCTTTACTCTGTGAAAATGGGGTATATGCTCTAAATCTGAATCTATTTCAGCTCCCAAAGCCACAACCGTTATGCTAAAATAATTGGGAACACTTCAGTGTCATAGCATGAACTACTTTCTGTAGTCATTTCAGTTCTAATGGCTCACTTAGTGTGTGAACTGCTACTTGTTGTAACAGTCATTATGTACTCCTGAGTGATGTACTTGGGATGCTCTTAAAGGCACTCTAGTTTAAACATCCCTCTTGCCCTAAATCTACTACCTAGCAGTGTTAAAGTAGAGCCTAAGACCTCTCAAACAGACATTGTTTTGTTTTATTTTGTCTGTGATAGAAGCTTGTGTAGCAAGTTTTGTAATTTTTTCTATATATGACTATCTTGTGATTGTCCTGTTTTTATGGATCTTTCAACCCACAAAACCAACCCCCGGCCTCTAAAAAAGGGAGAAGATAAGTTAAAAGAAACTCAAAAGAGAATGTGAATGTACAAAAACTGGCAGTGGACTTCAAGGCAGGGTCGTACTCTTGAAAGTTTTCAACTTTCTTAATTGACTAGATTTCAGCTTTATGTTCCTTCACAAGCACTGCATGTTAAGGATAGAACCTAATATTTGTTGCTGGGATTGGAGTGTAGATGACTTTTTTTTTCCAAACATATAAACATGGGTGTACAAAAATACATACAAATGGCTTGTTAAGTGGCTAGATATTGTGGAAACTGTATATGCAAATGGAACATGCAGACATGAAACAGCATTGAGCACACATGACTCATACCTCTTGAATGAGTGTAGGTGAGCATGAAGGTGATTGAAAACACCCATGAGTGTGCAAGATTGATTTCAGCAGAAAACTCACTAATTTGCTTTATCGTGTTGGGCATGAGGCTGCATTAACTTAACAATGAAAAGTAAGGGGTCTTCCTATCATGGGAATTATAAAGCAAAAGTTTAAATGATTTATTGTTGCAGAGATTCAACACTTGTTTAACATTTTCCTGCTGCAGACCTTAAGAAACATACAGCAGAAGACAACCCAGACAAAGGCATGCTAGAGAGAGCTATTGAATCATTAAAGGAAGTGATGACGTAAGTGATGCTTTTGATATGAAATATTCTCTCGGGTCTTACTGAGGTATCTTGCAAATCTCAGCAATGCTGTGGCACCCCTTACCTCTTCAACATTCCTCCCACCCCATGTCAGAGCTTTCAATGGAATCCTCCGAAAGCAGCCTCATAGCTATCTTTTGCTATGCGCGCCTGGGGAATTCCGCCCTCTTGGCCCATGTTGGATCTAGAACTTTTAGAGCTCCCTTATGCCACTCTTAGCCGAAGTAAAGGAGATCTTCACACGCATGCACACCCCGCCTTGACTGACCCATTATCTTGACTCCAATGAACGCTATTGGAAGGACATAAACTACTGGTGGAGGGTCCGTTTCTGGTGTGTGTTGTGTAACTGTGTCGTAATAGAAGTGTTCTCCATCTTGAAGTTTTAGGCTCTAAGTCTTGCAGGTGTAGGATGTACCCTAGTGAGGAAAGATATTCAACATTAGACTAATGCTATATTTGTCCAATACAAAAAATTATTCATGAACTCTAACTAGCAACAGTTCACTTACACATGCCCAAATCTCTTCAAGTGAGCATTGCATTTAATTCAAAGGACAGAACAAAAATGGCGAGTACTTGACACTGCTGAAAATCAGTTTCTGCTTCTCTGTTCATAGTTGCTGAGCAGTTTGCTGGTTTCTGCTAACATGTGTAACTGCATTGTTCCAGATTTGGATGCACATATATTTAATACATTGCACATGGAAAAGCAGTTCACTTAAATGATTGTTTGTGGTGGTGGTTTTTTTAATTTGAATGGTCAATTACTGTATACATTGGTGTGCCTGTGGGGACCATATCTCTGAATGTCCAGCCTCACTTTTGTGCCTTTACATTTAGTTTGATCTGTTCTTATTGTTTAATACTGATAAACCAACATACTTTCCTCAGACACATTAATGAAGACAAAAGGAAAACAGAAGCACAAAGACTGATCTTTGATGTTGTGTACGAAGTTGATGGATGTCCAGTAAGTTACTGCCCTCAAGCTATTGACCTGTAGAATGACTAACCAACTGACTTAGTCCTTGTATTAAAATTCTACTTAACCTGATTACCTCTGTATAACTCTTGTGTTTAGAATGTACATTCAACAATATCAAAGGTTAAAAGGTCCTTCACTATAAAACCATATTTCCAATATTGAGTTGAGTGAGTGGTAGTCTGGCTCGTATTTATTAATGTCTAATGAGCTGCTCATTTCTACCATTTAGGCCAATCTCTTGTCATCTCATCGAAGCTTAGTTCAGCGATTGGAAACGGTTGCACTTGGCGATGACCTCTGTGACAGAGGAGAACAGGTCACACTCTTTCTGTTTAGTGACTGTCTAGAGGTAAGGCTGTAGAAAATTCTCACTGAACTGAGGCATTGCAGAATGCTTTGTAACTCAAACTTTAGTATAAATAAGCAAGTTATCCTAAATACTGAAACCCTATGAAGAAATACTAAACAGAGAGGGCAAGTTGAACATTTAGCCTGCTATCAATATTGTCGGTTTCTTGGCACTACTGTAGAGATTGCACTGACAAGTTGGTAATGTCTTATATCCCTAATGAACTAACTACATATTGGCAGTGAAAGACATTATGTTGAAGCAGCATATGGAATAATACTGTCTGCTAAAGAAGCACCATCGTTCTACAGTATCTGTTGCTCTTCCACAGGACACAGTTCCTTGGTACAAAAATTAAACTAGTGACATAAATGAGTTTAGCTTAGTTATAATTTTCTTCTGGCCTATGCCTTCTGATAAATCATTCAATTTTTCATAAGTAAATGCAGTGCATAAAGACAATGTTTACATGAATGGGTGAACGCCGCTTGTGTCTTTCAAAGCTTTTAAATTACAGCAAGTTTGAGCATTTTACTTGTCCCTAACACATCAACATCCATTTTCCTCTAAGAAGTAGAAAATGTTAAATCTCAGCATGCTTGGGATTGGATTGACAACCTGGATTTCAGTAGTTACGTGTGTGTGTGTGTATATAAATTAGTTATTTTCAGCTTGTAGTGAATCAAGCCTTTGGTGCTTGTCAGCCACTGGCACTACTGAAAGTGCTGGAGATACTGGCTTAGCACATTTGCGTCTTCTGGGGCTTATTGGTATTTAATATCAGTAAATGGGTCTCTCTCAGGTAGATATCTGCTTATGTACACATTTTTGTTTAGTCTAAAGTGTCCACACAAGCAGTATAACCAGTAATTGCTGTTGGAAAAATGAAGACATGGTGGGGGGAGTGTAATTGGGCTTTGGAGGCTTAAGTGGAGAGAGAGAGAGAGAGGAGTATTTACAACTTCAACTACTGTGACTGGTTCAGAGACTTTCATTAAGGAATTTAAAACTCGCTGCAAAGTCTGCCCAAAGAAAGACCACAAGGCAGTTTAACACCTTGGACTAGTGTCACGCCACTACAGGCAAGATAACTTTACTGTATCACGTAATGACAAAACAAAGCTGAGCTACTTTGCCAAAAGAAAGGCAAGTTAAATTGGCTTTGACAAAACTTCGGGCGTGGGTTTCTTCGTTTCTTTTTTCTTTTCTTTTTTTCTTCTCCTTTAGAAAGCTGAAAATGACTGAGCGTTAATGGACATAGACTCAGGGCCTTGTGTAAATTCCTAAAACTACAACAATCTTGGTGGGGTAGTGGGCCCTGGTAAGCAGGATCCACTTTGATTCATTCTAGTCTATGCTACCATATGGGAATATGTGTAGATATGCCCACTTGAAGCATTGTAACTGTATAGGGGCAGGAGCACCTCTCTCATTAAGGCTGAGACTAGCTTGCTGTTTAACAGTTAATATTTTCCAAGGGCTCTAAAATAAATGTGTACATGAATTGTCTTTAAACTGCCATGTATCATTAGTGTCTGGGGTAGGGTTAGTGGTCCACATTGAAAGTTGTTTGAGCAAGGGGTTCCTGAGATACTGCTCTGATTTAAAAAAAAAAATAAAAAAAAAATCATGTGTTTTCTGCACACTTGGGGCTTAAATGATGGTTCTCATCTTCCCCCAAACTGATATAACCTACTCAGGAATGATCTCTACTAGTATCTGGCACCCACTACCCCTTTTTTGGGGAAGCAGTGTTCTTTGAGTAGTGGAGCACCTGTGGGTGTTCCATTTCAGATTCACATACGCCTCTTGAGCCCTTGATTGAAGATTTCGAGGTATCAGTCAGTGTCCATTCAGCCCACATACATGCCCTATGAAATCTTGTGGCAAACACCAAGGCTAAATAGGAGTGCATGGCAAACCGTCCTCAGTTCCTTCATTTCTGCCTCTGCCTGAGACTGAACACTACACTGTCTGCCTAGAGCATACAAGGCTTTTCTCTTTGTCCCCTTTTTCTGTCATAGGTAATTTAGGGTGGTTGTTAGTGGTAGTTTAGGTGCGAGAACTGCATTCCTTCTTTCTTCCCTTGGAGACTTGCCCTTTCCTGGTGGGATATGCCTGGTTTGCCAAGTTTCAAATGCTGCCTCTCCTCCAGGAGGCTATACCAGTGACAATAGATGATTGGGAGATGTGGGACTCCCCAAGGCAAAGTGCTCCTTTTTTGTTTTTGTACAGCCCTTCAGTCCAGGACTAGGCAAAACAGGGAGATAAAACTCCAGCTGCTGGTGATGGAACAGTCCCTGCAATCACCCTCTGATCCAGGTCAGGCCTCTCTCCCCCCCTGAACATTTGTCCCAGGGCTGATCCAGCACCCCAATCAACCTCTGGTCATGTTTCTCATAAGAAAAAGCCTTTGGAGCACCCTCTGAATACTCCCAAAAAGACGAGCTCAGACTCTGTATCTAAAGAGCCAGCTGCAAAGAAGATTAGATTCCTGTCCAGGCCTTCATCTCCAAGGGTTCTGCTGAAGCCAAGGACTCTTCCTCTGGTGCTCGCAGGACCATGAAGCCTTGGAGATCCAAGGAGAAGAAACATAGCTCCAATAGGGTGCCCATACCCTCCACTAGGAAGGGGTGTAAGCAGAGGGTACCCTCGAGCTTCCCATTGGTGCCATCACACACCTTAACCCAGCCATTGGTACCAATGCAAGTAGCTCAGGCATGGTGCCTTTACCAGCAGTACACTTGGTACTGAGCAGGCATCAGCATCTGACACAGCCTGTAGCATGCTCATCATTAATGGTGCTATCAGCTCCAGCCACCGTGACCTTGGCTGTGGTGTTAGTATGAACTAGAGTCCTGGTTGCTGTCAGGTACTGAGCATCTCACAATGCCAAGATCTCGGGCTCTGAGTGGCAAATCTGTGACACAGGACTCTCCTTCATTGGCTGCTTTTCCCCTTCCCTTCTCCTATGGGAGAACATGGAGGAAGACTCCCAGTCAGTCTCCTCGAGTCCCTCTCCCCTCCCCCAATCCCTATTAGGGGTTCTCCAACATTCCTCTTCAGGGAGAACTTTTTGCAGCTCATCTAAGATGGTGGAACCAAACCTGTATGCCAGTTCTGCTCCATTATGGACCCCTGCAATGGCCATATTGGGACCTGTGGGCTGGCTATCGGCAACAATTCAATAGACTTCCGGAACTGTCCTTTAGGGAAACTGAGGTTACGCCATCCTCCTTCTGCCCTTTCACAGCAGGAAACATCATTTGAGGAACTGGAAGCTAGAGCAGAGGAGGAAGTCACCCCAAGATTCCCATTTCATTGTCGTCATTCCTTTAAAAAGTTGCATCTATAATGTAGCTTGAGCCAAGTTGGTGAGCCAGAGTCACTTGTCCAAGTGCAGCAACACTGGGATGGCTCCACAAGACACGTTTACAGGCAGCCTGATATCTGAATAATTGCATGCCTCAAAGTGATGATGTGGCCATGGAATTTGAGTAGCACCATGTACCATGAGTACTCCTGCCTTCAGCAGGTTTCTGAACTTTAGCTGTGCTATGCCTGTCCTGTACTCAACCTGTTCCCTGATTTTGAATAAACAGCCCTAGAGTTTCCAGATGTTGGCACTCATTGACTGTTCTAAGAATTCCTCATGGAATATCACCTGTGCATTGTCATGTATGCCAACAGACTATTTTCTGTGGCAGATTTTTTTGCTCCTTTTGCATGTCCCACCTAACTCAGCAGAGAAATGGGGGGGGGGTTTGCAGTCCCTTTGTGTATCATCCTCACTGTGCTGTGAGATCTGGCAACCTGCTGCAGTTATTCCTGTACTAGTCAATACAGTTGTCTTTAACCTTTTTCATGTGTCTTTTATATTTGGGAAAGGAACTTGCTGCCTGGTTTCACTAGCTCTTGATGGAGGAAAACTCTTCACTTTAATAGTGTTGAAAGGCAAACTTCAACATAGGTCTCCCAAAAAATGCTTGAGGAACTTTGATATTTATCAGACCGGTACACAGAATACTTCCTAAGGATTGGGGTCAGGGTTTTGGCAGCTATTGATTTTGTGAAATAGTAGACAGAAAATCACTTCTGCAGTCTGTGCTAGATAGCTTTATTAGAGGTCTCAGTGATATAATGCACTTAAACCCACGTATATAAAACTCTGTCATGAGAGATTGTTATGAACTAAATAAAACTGCTAAAGCAGAACGGACCCCAAAGGAATCTCAACTTCTTTAAGTGCCAGGATGGGATACAATGTGTTTGGGGAGGGGAGGAGGATAGCAAGAAAGGATTAATTTGGAGATTCATGAATTGTAGATGGACCATGAAAATTCCATTTTAAGACACTATTGTAAAAATGTGTATTTCACAAAATACACAGATTACGTGAGTTGTGGTGGCTTTGTTTTTGGTGGGTGGTCCATTTCCTACCCCAAGGAGTTTCTAAAATTGCCTGTTCTAAGGGATGCCTAGAAATCCACTTTCCAAAGTTCCCTACCTCCTCCTTACATATTCAGTGTAAGATCACATGAATTGGGGTACTAAAAATAAGTAGGGAATTTTTCATCAGTGTAAAATCTTACATGATTTCATCAGGAAATCTAATGTAACTTTTGGCTCTAATGAGGACTACTTTCACCTTTTTAAAAAATGGATATTGCTAATACATACGTTGTCATTGAGGGAGAGGAAGAATCTAAAGTGGACTAGTACTGCATCAGACTTCTTAGAAATCCTGCAAGCAAACTGGGAGCCCATGATTTTGTAGCCTTCATTGTGTACGCACCCTAGCAAGTGTCTTATTTTAAATAATTAAGATTAAGTACCACACTTGTTTTTGATCAAAGGATTGCTTTCCTGTGCAACAGCCCCAGGCTCCATGGCTTTGCTTTCGTTTTTCACTCACCTAACTAGTAGGAATCTGGAATTCTGGGGTGGAGTCTGCCTTTCTGATGAACATCTCATGTAATTTCTAAAGTATTTCCTGCTGCTGAGCAAGGAACATGCTACAATAAATATAGTTAAAAACCTATGTAGTATTGGTGGATTGCAGAATACTCTCCAGTCCTCAAACAGTAAAAAAATTTGCTGTGTGTGAACTCTTTCCCTTTGAATCGGAGTGACTCAAGGGCAAGAGATGTGGAAGTAAACAAAGGGAATAAGGGATCCAGTGACAGAATCTTGAGGGGGCAAAAATAGTTAATCACTGAAGAAAGCACATAGAGGAAGTCCTTATCAAAACGTAGCAGACAGGGTAGAGAAGATTCTTCCAGTTTTGTGAATGTAAGAACAGAATCATGAACTGACTCCTGTGAATTAGGTATCTGAGGTGTCAGAAAAACACAGCCTCCTCTAAGCTTGAATGTAAAAGAGAGAAGTGCTTCTTTGAGCGTGGGTGGTATTGGAGAGGCATGTAAGGTCAAAAGATGGCTTGCATTGGACCATGTTGAAACACTCTCCCTACCTTGGAGTACTTATAAACAACTTATCCCCAAATTCCCCTTCTTTCCCGCAGCAAATAGTGTGTGGCCTCATGGAAAAGAGCAGTTAGACATTTAAAAAAATACTAACATAAAGCAAACAGCTGCCAAATTGTCTCCTGGGAACCCCTAGACCATCCACCTTCCAATGCTGTGGCCCTCATTGCTTTGAGCTTGCCATGTTTTTTAGTAGCTTGTCTCACTTAGGTAAAGCCAAACTTATCACATTGTAGATAAAACTGCTTCAAGTCACTCTGTTTGCAGAGAAGTGGACTTTCTAAGCTGGGCCAAGGGCTCTGAAAATCCAAATACTGTACTGGGCTACAACTAACAGGTGGCATCCCTGTTTGAACATTGACCAATCTGCTGTTTTTAGGATCTGCTCTACAGCTAGGTGCATGCAAGAGTATACTGGGAAACTAGGGGAACCAGATGAGAGGAAATATCATAGCCTTTCAAGGAACATACTTTGTTTTTATTTTAAAAAAAAAAAAGGATCCTAGTTCTTCTGAAAAAAGACATACAGCTTCTCTTCAAACAGAAGTATAAATCCATATGTTGGAGCTGGTTACTAGATGAAGACTTCATCTGTTCTCTCTCACTAAGCTTTAAGCTTTGATTTTTATTGATTGTTTTAATTGTAAGATTTAAACTTGTTACCTCATGCTCTTCTTACAGATTGCAAGGAAACGGCACAAAGTTATCAGTGCTTTCAAGAGCCCCCATGGCCAGACCAGGCCCCCAGCATCTCTCAAACACATTGTTCTCATGCCTCTCTCGCAGATCAAGAAAGTGCTAGACATCAGGGAGACAGAAGGTCTGTGCTTGGAATGGTGTTATAGCTAATAAACCCAGTGGGGGAATGGTGGGGGAGATAGAACATTGAAGTGTGTATATAATATATTCTGAGAACTAATTATGTGATTACACTCCAGCTGACAGCTACAAATGCTAATGTTCTGGCTTGAAACCACAAAGCAACAAGTTTTTTATTTAAAGATTGTTTGCCTGCTGGCCAATGATCTTGAAATAACCACTAAAGGCCATATCAACAAGAGCCAGCCAAATGGCACTGTGAACCTGCAATAAAAAATAAGCCTACAGAGCTTTTAAACACAGCCCTTGTTCTGCTGAGTGTGCTTTTTGTTGCTTGGCCCATTGCTGTTTCCACAAATACAAATCTTCATTTCAAATGTGGTGGTGGCACTCAACAAGCTATCCCTCCCACCTGAGGACAAAGGTTTGACTTAACTCGCGTTAGATTACTTAACTCGCGTTAGTCACGGTTAGATTAATGTTTCACAGTAGCAACAGTTCATACCAATTTATTCAACGTTGTAGCAGCAATACCATCATAAATCTGTTTTCAGAAGCTTGTAATTGCTGTAAACATTCTCTGGTTAGAAATTAAAATACAATAAGGCTTCACTTCAAGTGATCAAACTTTTTGGTTGGTGTTCTCTAGATCTCTTCATCAGATCTTACTGGGTTTGTATGTTTTTCAGAGCTTAAGACAACTCTTCTGAGTAAGAAGTAGGAAGAGGCCATCTAGTAAGCAGGCAGCAACCTCATACAGTCTAACTGTAACTTTAGATTTAACTGCAGTCATTTTTTAAACTGGTATTAATGGAGAGTGTGCTTTTTGCTGTAGTCTAATTATTTGATGGCAGAGACACCAGGGTAGACTGACAATGAATGTTAGCCCCTTGGCTTCTTCACACCAAAAGATGGTCCATTGGTGACAAGAGGGTAGCTGAACCCTTCTGACCACGTTCTAGCTCCCGTTTCTGAAGCAGTGCTGAGCACTGTCTGTCTACACTTGCAACTTAATTGTGTTCAGCACTGGTTGGTTGTCAGCAATGGGTCACTTGTCCAGCATAGACTGGGTTTAACATCAGTATCCTTTTAAGATATAAGATATAATTCTGTTTAGTCAAATTTGAATATCTCAAATGGTCAAACTTCCTTCATAATAGAATACATAGCAGCTTCAATGTTGCTTCTCAAAGTGCCCTACAAAATAGGGCAGGCATCACTTCCCTCTGCTTTGCAGGTGAAGAAACGACCTGCCCAAGGTTGCAGAACTGAGAAGAGAATCCAAGATTTGTTACTGCCATTTCCCTATCCATTAGACCATGCTGCCTGTAAGGCAATGTCTACACTTCAATTAGACCCCCCTCAGCTGGCTTGTGCCAGCTGACTCTGGCTAGTGGGGCTGAAGCTAAGGGGTTGTTTTAATTGCAGTGTAGATGTTCAGGCTTGGGCTAGAGCCCAGGCTCTGGGACCCTCACAGCCAAAGCGCAAATGTCTATAGTGCAATTAAATAACCCCTTAACCCAAGCACCGCAAGCCTGAATCAGCTGGCACAGGCCAACCACAGGAGCTTAATTGCAGTGTAGACATACCCTAATAGTCTTTAACTTGAACCTGACTGCTACTTAAATGTAAGTCATAAGATTACTTGCTAAAAATCTGTGGGTTTTTTTCCAGAATTGTATGAAGGTAGACTGTCCTCTATTTGGAACAGTGTGAACTGAATGTTTGTCTTCAATTATAGACTGCCACAAAGCTTTTGCCTTGGTTGTGCGGCCACCAACAGAACAGAACAACTTGTTGTTCAGTTTTCAGATGACAACTGAGGAGCCTCCTAAAGAGGATTGGCTGAAGATGCTGTGTCGGCATGTAGCGAATACAATTTGTAAAGCAGATGCTGTAAGTTGTCTAGTAGTAGGTTATCAGTGAAAATAGTTCATTGCAAATGTCTTTTAGATACATTTAATTTAACTGCTTCTTTGTGATAATAGGAAGAAACCAGGCCTTGGCATATCCTCAAGCTAACAGAGTAAGAAACTTCTCTGGTGGTTAAGAGGGCTACTAAGGCCTATTCCTTAACCATTAGGTTCTACAGAACCTGGCTTTTTTTTTTAAATAAAAATACTACTAATTCTTTATGGTTGTGATAACAGTCCAAGGCCTATCGTATAGATACAATAGGGCATGTCTATACTATCTTTTGGGTCTTTTACCAGTGTAAGCCAGGCCAGTGCAATTCTCTCTGCACTGTTGTAGCATTTCTAACAGTAGGCATTTTCACTGAGATGTAGAAATTGACTGTGTATAATCCCCTTAATTCGTTGGTCTGTATAGACAGCCTGATAGAACAGTGGTATGAAATGCGTCTACCTCAGTGAGGCATAGAGCCCTAAAGCATCTTTCATCACAAACTGGAATGTTCTAAGGTGTCAGCCTTCTCCCAGCACACCTTTGAGAATTTCCAGTGTGTATTTCCAGGCCAGAAGCCAAAAATAAAAAATGTACTAACTTTGAAATACAGCATGTAAATGGTAACCAGGCAAGGACCTTCCAGCTTACATTTTCTGTGTGCGCGCACGTACGTACACCTCCCTCCTTCCCCCCCCACACACACACGTGCACACACTCTGGAGTGAACAGCCAGTTTGAGTTTCACTGTGTTCAACATGTTACTTCATATTTTCACTATACAATCTGTTAAGTATTTGAGGTTGTTTCTGTAAGGCTGAAAAAAAAAAAAAAACCCTTTCTTTAAATGAGTCTTGTCTTTCCATGAGGACACTAGTTCAGAATGTGTGTACTATTTCTGAGCCACTGGCTCACTTTGAATGGGTGAACTTCTGGAGAAGGGGTATTTTAGCCCTCTTCTCTCTCCCCCCCCCAACACACACACACACACACACACACACACACGCGCAGTAAAAGATAATTTTATCCTGAGAGAAGTATCTGACAGTTTTACTAAGTGGGCCAGCCACCCATCTATCAGTTCCTTTAATTGTCTTTGTGGCCACTCAATTCTAATAAGTATAATAATAGAAATGGGGTATCATCTGTTAATAATGTTCTGTCACATTACAGTACATTGGAAATAGTGAGGGGTCAAGTGCTTTTCTAATGTGGAATATGATACTCTGAAACACACCTTGTCCGTTCCTAACTACATCCAGTCCTCAGAGTGATAATATATATTGGTGTCTACTTAAAGGCAGCAGTCCCACCAAACTTTAAAGCAACACATTTCCATCCTTAATGTGCCCCCATCTTTAGCTTGATTTGCATACCAAATAAAACTGGAATCTTTTTTGCACTTTAGGGGGTCAAAAACTTGATCCTCTTCTCCATCTGTACCTGGACACCACACCGTTTCTGAAAAGTCTGATGTAAATACCCACTTCATTTATGAGAAAACATAGGCATAATTATACAAGTCTGCCACATGGTGGCAGTAAAGGCTTTAACTTCAGCTCTGCCTAGTAGCACTGCAGTGAACAATGCTGTCATAAGCTGTTCTTGAAACTTAACTCTGTGTGTACAGTCGTCTTCGGGCAGCTTTCCTCCAACTTCACAAAAGATCAATTCCTTATCCCTCACATAAAAAGTATAATCTAAAGACTCCTGTGATGCTACTGGAGTTTCAGAACACAAAATATGAAATATTTATTGGGATGTCAGTGACTCTTCTAAAACTGGCCAGTAAAACTATAAAAATATTTAAAGCTTCATCCTATCCTATGCACTAGGGCACGGCTCTTAATTATGTAACTGAATAGTCTACATTTTGAATCATTCCAGTAATGTTAATTTCTGTTCTCTGGAGGAACTTGGGATCTTCTGAAGCACTTTTTACCAAACATAGGCCAAAGGTATCAACTAGATATTTAACTAGAAGACTTTTGAAGACTACCCAATCTGTCCGTTAGAATAGTGGAGTATCTTGCCATGCCAAGACTCCACTACATTTACAGTTCAAATGTGCATATCCCTTTGCATCAGGCCTGGATTTTTAATAAGTTCAGATTTGACCCACTTGGTTTGCTTTGACTACCCTGATTTTGAAAATGGGGCTAAGGTCTCCTACAAGAGACTGTTCTAGTAGCTAGCTTTGGTAAATCAAGTAAATCCAAATAGCAGCTGCGAGATTAAGTACAGCTGCTACATTTGCTATCCCTTCTCCAGTGGAATTTAGAGATCTTCAAACAGGAATTGATGATAAATAATTAAATTTTAGAAGATTAAACTCACATTTTTGAGTGTACTCAAAGATGATGTGTTGGAAAAATCCTGGTGGATTTGTGCACCTGTTCTTATAATTATGCCTGTCTGTAGGAAAACCTTATTTACACTACTGATCCTGATTCAGTTGACATAAATACAAAAGATGTGGACAGTACGTTGAGTAGGGCATCCAGGGCAATAAAGAAAACATCAAAAAAGGTAAGTGTTTAATTCCCTACTTGCTAAGTAATTACCTGATATGTGAATCTTACTACTTGCACCAAAATCTTCTAGTGCCAGTGTAGTCAACAAATTTATGTTGGTATTTCTGCCTGTGCTGGCAAAGGTTGTTTTTTTCTCTATATATATATGTTTATATTTATTTATATACACAAACTGATTAGGAGGAGAAAGTGAAATTGGGGTTTTTTTGTTTGTTTTTTAATTGCAGGATTGTAAATACATTCAAAAAATTTCTTTACTTTTTATACATTAAAAGAAATTCCATGAGATCAATTGTGCAGCAGAGTTGCAATGTGACTGTTTTGTGACCTATGTAAAATGAAGAGTCTGTGTTAATTCAACCCATGGTGTCCAGACCATATGTAGCAGTCAGCTGAAGGAGCAGGGATTGAAAAGTGAGCATGCACAGGTTGACTACTAAAATAGACCTCTAAGATGCTGTATAGAAAGCACTGTAGGACATGGTCTCTCATTGCAAGGTCTCTAGACTGTTAATGTAATTCCACAGCAAATCAAAATCTGAATGCATGTTAGATGCTAATGGTCTCATGCTGAGACTTAATGTATGTAACAACTCTTGTCAAACTCTGCAGGTTACAAGAGCATTTTCTTTCTCCAAAACACCAAAGAGAGCTCTTCGAAGGGCTTTAATGGCACACAATACAGTAGAAAGAAGGAGTCCCTGCTCAGCTAATGAAAGTTACTTAGGCAGCCGCCTGACCAGTACATCCTCATTAGCAGTAAGTGACTTGACTGTACAGTCCAAATGGCATAACCTTCATTTTGATAAAGCTGACTGTATTAATTCTGGTGCACAGAGCTTATTCTTACATGGCAACCTCTTATTAAACAAGGTCCACAATGCATATGCCACACATGTCTATACTTTCTTAAAAAAAAAAAAAAAAACTCCATTTATATTCTGGTCTGAGTAAAGTCTCTTAAGATGTCTATCATAGAATATCAGGGTTGGAAGGGACCTTGGGAGGTCATCTAGTCCAACCCCCTGCTCAAAGCAGGACCAATCCCTGACTAAATCACCCCAGCCAGGACTTTGTCAAGCCTGACCTTAAACTTCTAGGGAAGGAGATTCCACCACCTCCCTAGGTAACGCATTCCAGTGTTTCACCAGCCTCATAGTGAAAGTTTTTCCTAATATCCAACCTAAATCTCCCTCACTGCAACTTGAGACCATTACTCCTTGTTCTGTCATCTACTACCACTGAGAACAGTCTAGATCCATCGTCTTTGGAACCCCCTTTCAGGTAGTTGAAAGCAGCTATCAAATCCTCCCTCATTCTTCTCTTCCGCAGACTAAACATCCCCAGTTTCCTCAGCCTCTCCTCATAAGTCATGTGTTCCAGTCCCCTAATAATTTTTGTTGCCCTCCGCTGGACTCTTTCCAATTTTTTCACATCCTTCTTGTAGTGTGGGGCCCAAAACTGGACACAGTACTCCAGATGAGGCCTCACCAATGTCGAATAGAGGGGAACGATCACATCCCTCGATCTGCTGGCAATGCCCCTACTTTTTCATCCCAAAATGCCACTGGCCTTCTTGGCAACAAGGGCACACTGTTGACTCTTATCCAGCTTCTCGTCCACGGTAACCCCTAGGTCCTTTTCTGCAGAACTGCTGCTGAGCCATTCGGTCCCTAGTCTGTAGCGATGCCTGGGATTCTTCCGTCCTAAGTGCAGGACTCTGCACTTGTCCATGCTGAACCTCAGATTTCTTTTGGCCAAATCCTCCAATTTGTCTAGGTCCCTGTGTATCCTATCCCTACCCTCCAGCGTATTTACCTCTCCTCCCAGTTTAGTGTCATCTGCAAACTTGCTGAGGGTGCAATCCACACCATCCTCCAGATCATTTATGAAGATATTGAACAAAACCGGCTCCAGGACCAACCCCTGGGGCACTCCACTTGATACCGGCTGCCAATTAGACATGGAGCCATTGATCACTACCCGTTGAACCCGACAATCTAGCCAGCTTTCTATCTACCTTATAGTCCATTCATGCAGCCCATACTTCTTTAACTTGCTGGCAGTCTGTATCAGTCTGTCAAATGCAGAAATATCTGCTGTACCGTGGGAAACAAGGAGCGAGAATGCACTATGCAGATTCCAAAAAGTGACTACCTTCTAAGAATGAACGTACCATCTCATGGCAAGATGAGAAACTCTTCGCACAACTTGGAATGAAATTATTTCTGAAGCTATCTTAGGACGAAGTATACAACTGGTTCGTGTAACTTGAAATGACTAAATTTTGCATTTTTAAAAACAGACATCCTGTGCTTTCTTACCTCATTAACTTCTATCCTCATGGACTCTAAACAGGGCGGGGGAGGAACCAAGAAGCTGCAGCCCCAAATCCCCAGGAAAGGATATTCAGTGTGTCATAAATTTGGGGAGGGGAGAGGATCTCCGTCTTCAGTGTCTAAAATAACATACTGCCACTCTTTTCTCTGCTATAGTTTAAGAACTATAGCAGTAGACACTCAAGTTGCCAGCACAACTAACTATAACAGACGGGACTTGGTGGGATTGAAAATAAACGAAACTAAATTTTTGAGTAAATTGTACGTTATAACGCCTGCTCTTAGATCTGTAACTTGTTGAAAATTTCCCTTGTAACTCTCTTGTGGTGGTGGTCTCCTATAGTTGCCTTGCAGGGTATCCCCTCTGGAATAGGGGTAATAGAGTATAATGTGCACTCTAATGGCCTGCTGATAATCAACTCAGTCAAAGTATTGCTTCACTCTGCTGCTTGAGTTAAGGATGGGAGCATATGAACTAACGTTCTGAATCAGATCAGTGGTCCATCTGGTCCAGTATCCTGTCTAACAGTAGCCAGAAATAGCTGCTTCAGAGGAAACTGCTAGAAGTTCAGCAGAAGGTAACTAAGGAATAAATTGCCCACCGGGATAGTTGCATACTACCTCCCATTAGAGGTTCCTTCCCCAAAAAATCACTTACAGATTTAATTTTTATTCCTCCTCCCCTCTTGCTGTTTTATCTGTGGCTATCCTCATTCTGGTACAGTTTGTATCTCAAAAATAGTTACATTCTAGGCATGCATTTTCTCTACCTCCTATGTCCTTACATAGTTGAGCTTCACCCTTAAACATGTCAGCAGAACTACAAGGGATTGGTTGAATCCCTTTCTTTTCTGTGCATTAACAAGATGAATTCAAAATCTCTTGATGCTCTTCTAAATAGTAAACTACCAAACATATAAGTTGGCAGCATGGCATCCATCCTGTGCTTAGGAAAAGGGAGCTGTGGTTAAAAACAATCCAATTTGCAGCTAAATTAGTTATGAAATCAACAGTTTTGCATTTAGTTGGGGCTAAATGGCAATTTTCAGTTTTCAAAGTTACTGCATCTCTCATCCCTTTGTGGCCTCCTTGAGGGCACCCACACTCTAGGGGTCTGAAACTTTTCTTGGGTGGAGTCCCACAACTTTGTCTAGATCTAGAATGTAATTCCTACTTCAATTCACGGATTATCCCAGCATGTCTGCATTTCATTGAGCACCTGTAGTTCTGCTTGCTCTCTGGGGCAATGACAGTGTCAAAGCAAAGTGTGTGTGTGTGTGATTGTTTGGATCAAAAGAGAACATATCTTAAAAACAGCTCACATACTAGTCCTAGCTTACCAAATAGTCACCCATCTTTCATCTCTCCAAGTCCTTCAGGATTTGTCCCTCTTGGTCAGTGTCATTGATCAGGTGAAAGTGACTTCCCCATTTATGTTAGGGTGATCACTTTATACTGTGTTTCTGTTTTGGTTTGTCAAGGTCTCATAGTTAAATTAGCACATGTAACTTCCCCCAGGAGGTAAAGCTACTCCAGCCTTGCTGCTTGCTTAGGGATTTGCAATAATTACCCCAGTGCTTTTTAGTTCCAGCAGGAAACCCTCTAATTCCTCCATGGGGTTGTATTCTGGATCCTAGCTCTTAAAGTTACATATAACACTTTATAAAAAAGTTGATTCAATTGTTTTGTATATTACTGTGACAGATAATATAGACACCTGGGATATCCGGTCAAAGCAGTGCTTCATGTAGGCGTTTCAATGGCCTAATACACAATAGCACTGATAGTTACTGATAATATATACCCAAGAGCATCATTTGGATGGGGAAAATGACTTGTGAATTTGTCATTACTTCAATTTAAGACCATTAATACAATCTCCACTAGGAGCAAACTATTGCAGAAAGAGTACTGTTCTGGCTTGTATGCATTACTGAACCTGTTTAAAGTGCTGTGGCATGATCTCACCGCTGTTCCTGCAAAATTAATCTGTTGAAGATACAGAGTAAGTTTTAAAATTCACAGAACATAAGAGCCCACTAAGCTTCTTACAAAGGACTCAAAGGAATTGTTTAGGTGAAGTGCTTTGTGTAGATAATATCCTGGCCGTAGGTATGTACAATTTTTTTTACTTAGAGATATGGCATTGAAATAAGGCACAATAAAAGAGTAACCAGTGAATTATTCAGTGTCTGCACTAACTTTTCACCCCACCCCCTTTCCTATTTGTAGATTGCACGTTCCTCTTCTACATACAGCCTAAATGGATCTGTCAAACATGTCGTTAGTGTTCAGCGCTCCAATTCTGTTGATGGGAGCTCTCAAAGTTCCAGGTCTCAACCTGTGCTCCGTCCTGACTCTCCAACTAGCCGTCTTTCACATGCCAGAGAAGGAAAAACTCCTTCCAGCCCTGAAAGCTTAAATGGCCACTCATTGGCCAGACCTTGTCCCATTCCTGTCATTACTACCACTTGTGATGTAGGAGATGATCGGAGTGGTGTTGAGAACAGTTCCGTCGTCAAACCCTGATCTTTAATGCCCATGTTGCATAAAGTGAGCTTCTTAAAGATTCTCATATTTAGCACAACTACTAAAAGATTAAAGAATCTGTCAAATGTTTCTAATGGGTGCTGAGTCTTCCTTGGTCTGCCTTGGTGCACATCTCAACTCCCATAGGCTACTTAATATTTCTTCTGTTAACTAGTTGGGTCTGAAATGGGGAATTTTAAATTCTTTGGAAATGGAATTGACATCACTGGTATTGAGGGGTTTTGGATTTCTTTCCAAGTTTTTTAACCACGTTTGCCCTATGATAGCATTTAAAGTGCCTCTTAATATTTACACATTTAACGTAAGTATGGGAGAGTCTTCATGCTAAAGTCAAAATTTGACCAATCAAATTCTGGATTCAGCATGGAGTCTATTGCCTCTGATTGCAAATATGGAAGATTTTCTAGAGTACAACTGTTGACTTTCATGAGTCTTAAACAGTGAGTTTTGCAATTATCCTATGCTAAATACCTCCATAAGAACATGTTTCTCTTCTAGTTCAACAACTAAAGCACAACTATAGTACTATCACTTGTTATCACTTCAAGTGAAATTAAACTTCTGAGGTTGTAAAGAAATTTTTTAGCTCTTAAAGCAGCTCTTACAACTATTCTTATACTAATTTTAGTTTAAACTTTTTTGCTTAGCAACAAACTGCTAAGCTTGCAGATCACAACAAAATCCACTGATGATCAGTTCTGCTGAGACTTGTTCACATCAGAATAGCAAGCCTTTTGTCTAGTTTGCAGTGATACAGGCTAAGACTATTCAGTAATAAACTACCAAAAGTAAGTTACAATTTTTTTGTGGCCATTTTTTTATACCAAAGTCTCTGTAAGGGTCAAATCAGTAGTTTCTGAGGAAGCTTAAAAATATGGTAAGAGCAGAACAAGTTTAAGTGGTTATGTAGCTAGGGGAAGCTCATCTCAATCTTTCAAGATTTGCTAATATAGCAAACGGTCTTATAACATGTTCTGTGTTAGAAAACTTGGAAGGAGATACTACGCTGTTGTAAAAGCATGAACTGCACAAGGATGTGGGTTAGATATTTGCTTTATTAAGAACTCTTCAGAAGGTCTCCTAGTACTGTACATACCTCTCAACAGTCTTATTATGGGGGGAATCTTCATTTTATATAATGAACTTAACCATGTCTCTTACCCACCAAGTTAGTTATCCAAAACTTGAAAATGCCAGTCCTTAAAATTAAGGGTCAGCAGACTACCTCTACTGAATAAACTGGACCAACTGTGTCCCGCTTATTTTGGGTCTTGAAACGTTGAGAGGTATGACTACAACACTGAGACTGATACCTTGATCATATTAACATTTTTTTTTTCTTTTTTGCCTACCAGGGTATCCCTTCTCCTTCCTTGGTCAACCTTCCCTCAGTGTTTGCAAAGAGGAGTCATACCTTAAGTCGATCAACAACCCACTTGATATGAAGTAGGCTTAAAATGGACTCCTATACTGTAATGACTGACAAGCTACTGGCTGTTCAGATGACCTATTACTGACATTAATGGTACTTTAGTCATAGCCACTTAGTTGCTTAACTTAGTTACCTAACATTTTGCTAACTGGTAGGGACTCTTTGACTAGTACTGAAGCAGATCACCTAATCAACCAAACAAGTGAAAAACTTGATCTAGGTTTAGAAATATTGTATTCCTTTGCACAATCCATTTCCTCACCAGCATAATGTAAACACTGTCTTTCAACAAACTGTCTCCTTTATGCAATAAATTGTTTTGGTGTTAAATGCTGAAATTAAGAAGTCTCTTACTTGAGTCATTAACTGAAGATCATCATCATCCAGTGGATCTAGAAGAGGCTACTTAACTTCATCAATAGGCTCTGTACTACTAATATTAAACGCTAATGCATGGACCATTGACTAAACTGAAATACTTTAAATGGTGTATCTTAAACTATAACCGTTGGCCTGTTATACAGCTGCTTTGTCTGGCTATTTTAGAAGATCTAGTTTATTGGTGCATGAGTGTACCTTTTTGAGTGGTCTACTGCATATGGTCCTTCGTACTTTCTATGCATCCTTTTCTAATCCAATACATCCAAATCCTGTGACTGGCTTAGCCGCCAAAAGTAACTGATCTGCAAGCAAATTAAAACTAACATTTTTGGATGTGGAAGTCCAAGGAAAAAAACATCACTGTACTTAAATTGTATTTATAGCCTTTGAATTGAGACTATTTTTAAAAATAGTCTCCAAACCTTGTATAACTACTTTTTTTATATATAGCTTATTCATGCACAGGCTCCTCCAGTGCGAAGCTGAAATTGTGGACCTGGTTTCAATGTCTAACAGTAATATTTTTATGTACAGGTTTTTGGTGTATAATTTCCAAAACTTTTTTCTACATCTTCACTATACTTAGTCTTTTTGTATTTTTTTCTTTGCAAGCTGTACATTTTAAAATCATGTTTTCAGTCTGTATTATCCAACCCTGTCTCAGGAATTGTCCAAATGTGTATATTTCTGCACTTAATAACTTTGAACTAATTGCCTGTGTGTCATGCGTGGCATTTCCAACTCTAAAGATTCCCTTTAACTGCAAAATGCTGCTTTTTCTGTTATATGTAATTAGTGCTGCTTTTGAAGATGTCAGATGGCCTGTTACTTCTGTATTTTTAAGATAGGTTTTTTGCCAATATAAATCATGTAAATAAACTGTTTAAAACATTTCTTAAAGTCTGTTTAGTACAACAGTAAGCAAAGTCCAATGAGTCTGTGTCAAGGTGAGTGTTACTGCATCAGGAGCTAGTCTAGAAGCTTGTATAGTGAATCATAGTAATATAGTTGCAGTCCACTAAATATATACACATATACCCACCAAGGTTCCTGTGAAATTCCTTGTGAGGACTTACTGTTGTGGATACTGTTCTGTCAGTGAGTGTTGCATGTTTTTCTGACAATGTGACTATCTTTGGGTTTCTGTGTTTGAAGGAGAAGTGCCTCTCTTCCAAGAGGAAAATCCCTAAAGTACACAAACATGCTATGAAAGCTAGCTGTAGGATATATAAAATACAGTCTAAATTAAGGAAGAATCATTCAGTGTATTTCATCATAAGCTAATTGCTGCTTACACTACGTTACTGATATCAGGAATGTAATGCTTTAACTTTCCAGTAAACTGCAAAATTCTTATCTCATTGACTTAAGTCCCTTGTTGTATTGGGGCCCTTTTTTTCACTTAAAACGAACACACAGGATAAAGCAGTATAAGGGTGTCATGCTCTTTGGAATGGTTCATCACCATGAGTGCCAACCTCAGGCTAGACTGCCAAAAAACATGGTAGTCACCCCAAACTGGTTGCATGTTCTAAAATTGATTTCACCAAACCAGTAACAAATGTGAACTCCTGAAGCACTGTAATTACCTTACTGTGGAGTTTGAGAGAGTCCCCTTGGGCACTCCAGTCTATCTTACCACCCAGACAAGCTGGACTTAGTGATAAATGGTCACTTACCCCAAAGATCTCAAAATATTCAGGTTGATCCAAATCCCAAGAGACCGGTCACTTACCCCATGTTAATTTGTACCGGAGATGTCTCACCGAAGGCAATGCTTATAGCCAGTCCTATAGTAAACTAAGGATTTATTCACTAAGAAAAATAAATGAGTTATTTACAGTTTAAAGCAGGCAACATATTTACACAAATCAGTTAGTGACAGATGTAACTGTCAGCATTGAATGCCTTTTAAGGCTAAACCAGGTTGATTGGGGAATCTCTGCTTTTGTTTCCTCACTCCAGCCCTGTGAAAGTCCAAACAGCAAAGGGATATGAAAATTCTTTAGTCTTCCAGAATTCAAGGTGATGGGATGAGCTTTCTTGCCCATAGCACCTTCACGGTGTAAGAGGACCATCAACCCAGTCTTTGTATCATGGCATTTGCATGATGGCCTATTTAGTCTTTATAGCCCTTGATGAGTGGGGAACCATTCCTCCTGCCTGGGTTCATAAATTCAGAGCAGGCATTTTCACAGCTATAGAACAAAACTTAAGTATTACCTTTTTATAATGTGAGATTTAGACCTTCTAAATAACATTAATGCATACAAGCATTTTCTATAGAGACTAAATGCATCCTTACGAGTCTAACACCTATCCTGAATAAGACCAATATAGAGGTGAGCTGGTCTGGTTTCCAGCTATGAATTTGTCAGTGCTCATCTGGTGCCTAAAGCCCTGGTGAGAGCTGGCACCTGGTCTACCATCATCACAAAGGCCAATCAAGAGACAAGGTCACACAACGTTTATGTATAGATCTTTCTGGATGAGGGATTACTAGCTATGTTCTAATACAATTTGTCATAAGAATGCCTTGATGGAATTATGGCTTTATAGATACTTAGGTCAGAAGGGACCATTATCATCTAGTCTGACCTCCTGCACAACGCAGGCCACAGAATTTCACCAACCACTCCTACAAAACAAACCTCACACCTCTGCTGTTGAAGTACTCAAATCATAGTTTAAAGACTTCAAGGAGCAGAGAGTCCTCCAGCAAGTGACCCGTGTCCTATGCTACAGAGGAAGGCGAAAAACCTCCAGGGCCTCTTCCAATCTGCCCTGGAGGAAAATTCCTTCCCGACCCCAAATATGGCAATCAGCTAAACCCTGAGCATATGGGCAAGATTCATCAGCTAGATACTACAGAAAATTCTTTCCTGGGTAACTCGGATCTCACTCCATCTAATAGCCCATCACAGGCTACTGGGCCTATTTATGAATATTTAATTACCAAAACCATGTTATCCCATCATACCATCTCCTCCATAAACTTATCGAGTTTAATCTTAAAGCCAGATAGATTTTTTTTGCCCCCACTGCTTCCCATGGAAGGCTATTCCAAAACTTCACTCCTCTGATGGTTAAAACCTTCGTCTAATTTCTAGTCTAAATTTCCTAGTGGCCAGTTTATATCCATTTGTTCTTGTGTCCACATTGGTACTGAGCTTAAATAATTCCTCTCCCTCTCTGGTATTTATCCCTCTGATATATTTATAGAGAGCAATCATATCTCCCCTCAACCTTCTTTTAGTTAGGCTAAACAAGCCAAGCTCCCTGAGTCACCTTTGATTAAGACAAGTTTTACATTCCTCGGACCTCCTAGTAGCCCTTCTCTGTACCTGTTCCAGTTTGAATTCATCCTTCTTAAACATGGGAGACCAGAACTGCACACAGTATTCCAGGTGAGGTCTCACCCGTGCCTTGTATAACGGTACTAAAACCTCCTTATCCCTACTGGAAATACCTCTCCTGGTGCATCCCAAGACCGCATTAGCTTTTTTCACAGCCATATCACATTGGCGGCTCATAGTCATCCTATGATCAACCAATACTCCACGGTCCTTTTCCTCTTCCGTTACTTCTAATTGATGCGTCCCTAGCTTATAACTAAAATTCTTGTTATTAATCCCTAAATGCATGACCTTACACTTCACTATTAAATTTCATCCTGTTACTATTATTCCAGTTTACAAGGTCATCCAGATCCTCCTGTAGGGTATCCCTGTCCTTCTCTAAATTGGCAATACCTCCCAGCTTTGTATCATCCGCAAACTTTATTAGCACACTCACACTTTTTGTTCCAAGGTCAGTAATAAAAAGATTAAATAAGATTTGTCCCAAAACTGATCCTTGAGGAACTCCACTGGTAACCTCCCTCCAGCCTGACAGTTCACCTTTCAATAGGACCCGTTGTAGTCTCCCCTTTAACCAATTCCTTATCCACCTTTCAATTTTCCTATTGATCCCCATCTTATCCAATTTAACTAATAATTCCCCATGTGGTACGGTATCAAATGTCTTACTAAAATCCAGGTAAATTAGATCGACTGCGTTTCCTTTGTCTAAAAAAATCTGTTACTTTCTCAAAGAAGGAGATCAGGTTGGTTTGGCACAATCTACCTTTTGTAAAACCATGTTGTATTTTGTCCCATTTACCATTGACTTCAATGTCCTTAACTACCTTCTCCTTCAAAATTTTTTCCAAGACCTTGCATACTACAGATGTCAAACTAACAGGCCTATAATTACCCGGATCACTTTTTTTCCCTTTCTTAAAAATAGGAACTATGTTAGCAATTCTCCAATCATACGGTACAACCCCTGAGTTTACAGATTCATTAAAAATTCTTGCTAATGGGCTTGCAATTTCTTGTGCAAATTCCTTTGTATTGTATAGTTGTAGATCTGATCTGTATGTGGTTATAGCAAATGCTGCTATCAACATTGTCGACTATATTTCTCAGCTGTGATGACATGAGTCTTTGACTTTCTCTTTTATGTGAGAAGCCCCAAACTGACTGTAATCAATAGGGTTCCAGTGCATCCGATGAAGTGAGCTGTAGCTCACGAAAGCTTATGCTCAAATAAATTGTTTAGTCTCTAAGGTGCCACAAGTACTCCTTTCCTTTTTGCGAATACAGACTAACACGGCTGTTACTCTGAAACCAGTGCACCAATGGAAATAGAGCAAAGACATGCTGACTATCTCGGTTAGTTCTGCCATTCCCACAACCAAAAAATTATTTGTATAATGTTCAGAAAACCAATGGATTTTTTTTTTCTGGTTTTTCTTTAGCAAGTCTTTTATATTTTGTGAAGGCAAGAGTCAAAGTAAAATAAATTGGATACTCTGTAGGTTCAAACTTCAAAAGGAGCTGGACTAAATAATCTTCCACCAGAAGAGACCAAAACTCTGCCACTCTTTGTACATTCTGCTTGGCTCTCTTGCAGTCTGTCAAAAGACCTATCCTTCTGGATCAGCATGGTCCATTACTCTGTAATTTGGCCATGGAATCTAGCTACTGATTGTAGAATTACTCCCTACCATAGAGTGCAGATTTTTTTTTTTTTTAAATCTCACCCTAGCAGTGGCCATGAATCGGGTTAAGAGTAGGGCTGTCAATTAATAGCAGTTAACTCATGCAATTAAAAAAAAATCGTAATAAAATTAATTGCAGTTTTAATTGCACTGTTAAACAATAGAATACCAATTTTTGGATGTTTTCTACATTTTCATATATATTGTATTCTGTGTAATTGAAATCAGTGTGTATTTTTGATTCTTTGCACTGTAAAAATCAACAAAAGAAATAGTATTTATCAATTCTCCTCATACAAGTACTGTAGTGCAATATTTGTTGTGAAAGTGCAACTTACAAATGTAGATTTAAAAATTTTTTTGGTTACATAACTGTTCAGATTGTTTAGCACTGGCCCAAGGATTGAAGTAAAGGTAAAAGGCTATTAGAAAACTGAAAGGACTGCTGTAAACAGCCCAAGTGGGGTTTTTGAGGTCTGAAGTATAAAACCTAGAAGTAGAGCTCATCTTTCCTTTACTGGTGGCTTGTCTTTGTTTTTCTTTCCTTTAGTTTTCTACTCCATAATTTGGCACAAATGGGTAGCAAGCCTATTGCACCTCAGGCCATGTTTCTCAGGCTTTAGTATGACCTGCAGTTGATCTCTGCTTGTTCATTTCATGCACTGTTTGCTAATTCCTAATATTGAAGATTTCCTCTCTCTCCCAACCAGTTGGATTCTCCTGTCTAGTTTCTGATGTGAAGCAGACTCTCTGCATACTTTAGGAAGTGTTTTAGGCAATATCTGTAGCTGATAATGGACACCTAGTGTACTAATGGACCATAAACAGGACACTTTTTTTTCCTTCTGG